TTTTGGACTGTGTTTGTTCGTCTTACATTAAAAAAATATATAATAAACAAATAATAAATACATAAAGTGTCTCACACATACAAGGCATAATAAAATGACGTAACTGTTTATTCGTAATAAAAATAATTCATTAAAAAAACTAAAATAATAATAATAATAATAAATCAAAATCTCCCTTTAAAACCGTTTTTCGTAAGAAATATGAATCAAAATTCACAGTGATCATGAAGAAACAGCAAACTATACTTTGTACATGCATTCGCTTATTTTGCCTGAACGAAAGTGAATTCAATTTACAAATCAAAGTTCAAATCTAAATTCTAAGTAATTCATTTTCACCCCACAAATGTGCACAAATGTGAACTGAGATCTGAACCTGTGTGTAAAAAAGTGTACAAGCACTGCAAGAAAAGAAATCTGACACATTCTTAACATTTTCTAAATGAAATACCTGACAGCTCACTTTTTGCGCAACAGGCGCACAGAAGCTGACACATTTAAGCTTTTCAGCCTGGAAAGAAGAAAACAAAACAAAACAAAAAAATATTCTAAATCGAGTCGGAATTGACTTGAAAAGAAAAAAAAATAGAGCAAGGCTTTAATATGCGAGAGAAAAGTAATAATAAATCACAAAGGCGCGTGGAAACAAGAGACGTAGCAATTCCTAAAGATGCCAAAGAGAAAGGCTTGATTTTGTAGTCACGGGATTAAACTCGCCGACCTTTGCAAACTAGAGATGACTATGAATAAGACAGGAGTCCAGCCCCACGGGTGGATAGACTTATTTATTCATTATTTAGAGGATTAAGGCCTACAAATGTTTGTTGCCAAAGTCTAGAAGTGGGACTAGTCCGTGACTATTGCGCTAGAGTTGGAGAAGAGAAGAAGACACTGAACTCGAAAAAAAAAGAAAAAAAATCAGCGTGTATGAGAATGAATGGCTTTTCTCTCGGACATATGAGGGAATGCGCGCCGAGCCACAGTGATGCAGCGCGGTGCTTCTCCAGCACACAGCCCTCAGGACTTAAGCTGGAGACAAAACAAAGAGAGGAGACTTCATAAATTATGGATGTACCTTCATTTATCACCGCGCTTTCTGCGAGCGATGGAACATATGAAAGTGGCTGGATGGAGGGGCTGCAGCTCGCCCCACTCTGTGTCCTACATCCTCTTTGCTTTGGCGTTACTAATGCATTTCTTCCACCATGCTAGCCCTGCCAAAACTGCCTTGAGGTCTCATTTCATTGGGCTAAAAGCGCCGAGCCGACTCTGTTTGCACGCATAATGTGTGCGTGTGTATATATATGTGTGTGTGTGCGCGTGCGCGTAAGGTGAGGCGAGCGTGCAACCGCATATTACACTCCCTAAAGCTATTTTAATTAGCACAAAACTAATATTCAGTATCCAGCAACAGAACCTGCTCTTAGTGTAAAGAGGAGCCGAAGTCTCTCACACCTTTTAAACCGGGTTCTACGGGGGTTCTATGTGGAGCGGTGAACACCCAAAGAACCATTTGAATGCAGGAATGGTTCTAATCTGTGATGGAAAAACCTGTTGTATATGTTTCTTCGAAGAACCTGTTTTTTATGGTTCTGTATAGCATCAAAAGGGGTTCTGCTATTGTTCACCTTATTTTTGTTAGAACTAGTTTTGCTAAGAGTGTACGAAATAATGTTACAATGTCATAGTATGAATGCATTATTATTATTATTATTATTATTATTATTATTATTAATAATAATAATACTTTGATAATAATAATAATAATAATAATAATAATGTAGGATCGTGCAAAATAATTAAAAACATATTCTTAGTGTTATATTTTAGAAAGGCTCATTTTTAGATCACTTGATTAACTTTCTATTGAGTCTTTCCCTCAACAATCTGTGTATTATGGGATAAATCTTAAAGACATGTTATCATTTACCAATAATATAAATATGATTTTATTGCCGTTAGAGTGATTTTTTCCTACATTTCTAAAAGCCAGTTAGCCTACTGTAGCTAACCATCCTTCAGTGAAAACCTCGCTCCGCCTTTTCTCTCCATTATAAACCACACTCAGTCTCAATGTTCCCAAAAACACTGAACAAACTCATATGAAAGTTGTATTTCTCTTCAGACAGGACAGACTGATCAGCGTGCCGAGCTCTCAGTGTAAGACTCAGCAGCTGCAGCGCTGCAGTGTGAATGAAGCGAGCGCGCGAAGCTCGGTCCTCCTTTCAGAGACGGTGTGTAAATGGTGGATCGTATAGGAGCAGCAGGGTCCTGAACCCATGCGAGCAGCGTGATGTTAAAGAGGTCATGACATGCGAATGGCAGGTCTTGGCCTGGACACCATGCTGCTCCAGCTCACACTCCAAACGGAGCTGACACACACACACACACACACACACACACAAACACACATGCACAGCCAAAGCCTGAAACCACAGCATCACAAACTATACGTTATATGACATGGAAAATGAAATTATATACCTGTTGCCGCTTTTAGAGCTAATGTGTGCGTTATGTTGATATTAAATAGTTAATTTTATTGACATTTTAGGACAGCAGTTAGTCTACGGCCCCATTTTTACTTATTTTTTGAAGGCAAAAATATTTACGCCACGACATACCTTCAACTGGGCGTATGCGATTTATAACTATCATTATTATTCTTATTCTTTTTTTTTTTGTATCTACTGATAGCACAGCTCCTAACAGAATCAGCGATCATAATTGCCCCTAATGCTCAGCGTCGTTTAACCTAGCTCATTTCCTTGGTCTGGTTCGCGATTTTGTGTGCAGCGAATACGCGTTTTAAACATTTTTTAATGTAAAATATGAAAAAAAACATAAAACAAAACAAACAAACAAACAAACAAACAAAAACAGCTCTACACTTCCAATAAGAAATCAGTTCTTTTGTACGGCTCAAAAACAAGCAAAAAACGGAGCATTAAAGAGAAGACTTCATGAGCTCCTGCTACAAGCTAGAACGCAATATTTTCTGTTATCATCGTTCTTATTAGCGTGATATTCTAACGGTCCCCCCACATATCGGGTCTTGTAACAGTAGCATGAGGCGCTGGGGCGGTCTTATTCTCCTCCGCGTCCAGCTTGGGCCCTCTTTTCAATGAGCCCCTTTATTCCAGTCGGGACGGGGATTTGTGGCCGTGGCCGCCTTTTATCCGGCTCTCTATGGAAACGCGGATGGTGAGGGGAAAAATGCGCGGCTGAATAAAGGGGGAATCGGCCCAAGAAACGGCTGCACACAAGCATCTGTTACACTCGGAAACTTAGACTATGGAGAGGGGACGACAGAAGTAGCTCCCTTTTCCTGCAGTCCCACGTTTCAGCTGAATTTCTCACGAAAAAAATTACAGTACGGAATGAACGCAGCAGCAGAAAATCAGCCGGAATGAGGGCTGCGCTGTTTAGGATATCTGTCTGTCTCTTCAGGAGATCAATCGCAAAGTACGTCCAATATAGCCAGCCTCAAAACTGAAATATAAAAGTAGTACTTAATATGCTGGATTAGCGCGCACGAGGACGAAATACATGAATAAAATCGAGGCAGCTGTTTAGCGACATTTCCTTAGTATCAACACATCAGTGTTCAAATAAAGAAACCGGATTCGTATTAAACGATGCAGTAGTACAACTAAATATTACATTTTCCTAAAATCTAGAAAATAAATGAGAATTTCCTGCTAAATAACCGCTGCCAGAAAGTCAAAAACAGCATAAAAACATTAGAATGAAATGAATCAAAGCAAATCAAATCTAAAATCCGTTAAAACGATGCTCGCCGTCAATATTCTAATTATTATCATTATTATTATTATTATTACTACTTTCCTCCAATGTTAGCGAGTATGGACCACAGTCTAAAGCTCGCCTGCTTTCTAGATGAAAATATAACATCCCAGGCAGTGAAAGGCAGAGCGAATGTCCCGTGTTCTCCCGCTGTATGACACATTATCTCACAGATCGATGCGAGAGAAAATCAGCCGTATCTATTTGTAAGACCACAAGAAAAGCTCACCTGGTCGCGGCTGAGCTTCCTCCCAATTTCCTCCTGATCACCTCTCCTTAGAGAAACTGCAGTCTTTAATGACTTTCTGGTGGCTGCTAGGCTTCTTTTATTTCTGCTAAATGTATGAAAATGTATGCAAATTTAAATCAAGCTTAACCTGGGAGCTCTTGCAATATATTTAATGGAATTTCAAACCAATAAGGGGGACTCTGATGTAGTCTTCTAATGGCAAATATAATTACGCAGCTAGGTAACCTCTGAAATATGCAGCTTTTTTTTCAACTCGCTGAAGACCTGTCGAGATTCTTAAAGACCTACGTGCAAAGATTGCTTATTGTTGACAAGAGCCAAAGAGCCACAAAGATCCCCTTTTTAGTGTGTCTTGGGTATTTTTAAGCCACTGTTGTCAGAAGCTCTGAATGGAAAGTTTTATTTAGGCACATTTTTTGTTTTAAAAATTAAATAAAATAAAAATAGAGGAGTATTTAGGAATAGGAATATTTTATTATTAGCTTAATAAAGAGCTTCATAATCAAATTAATCTACACTACATGCATTTTACATGTTTTATGTAAGCTTGTACACTGGAGTAAATTATGTACTGAAACTGCGCTCAGTGTAAAGTTTTCCTTTGTTTTTGCATTTTATCTTCACATGTTTTGGCTAAGCAACGACATGAAGACAAAACCTCAGGACACTGCTCAACAAACTCTGTCCACAGTGGACCATTTCTCGTTATAGTGAACGCTTCCTGTTTTGTGTCGCTTTAACTCTGAAAAATATTCGAGGGTCCAATTTAAGCGGCCGAGCCGAGGCCTCCCGCGTTCCCATTGGCTGTGACGCGCCGGCACCCTCGCTCCGATTGGTCGCCGGGCCTGCCAGTCACCCGCGGGCTGCTGCTTTGGCTCCGGAGCCTGGTGGATGTCAAAGGCTGAAGCCGTTGCCGTTGCCACATTATAACTAGTAGGGGATCTCCAAGTAAGCATGGCCACAGCTGCCTCGAATCCCTACAGCATTATCAGCTCCAGCTCCATGGTTCATGCAGACGCCTCGGTCATGCAACAAGGGAGCCCTTTCAGGAATCACCAGAAACTCCTCCAGAACGACTACATCCAGGGCGTCCAGAGCAATGGGCACCCGCTCGGGCAGCAGTGGGTGAGCAGCTTAGCCGAGGCCAACCCTTGGTCCACCTCGCTGGCCAGCAGCCCCTTGGATCAGCAGGACGTGAAGCCCGGACGGGAGGACCTGCAGCTCGGCGCGATCATCCACCACCGGTCGCCGCATGTCGCCCACCACTCGCCGCACGCCAGCCACCCGGGCGCATGGGGGACGCCCGTGTCGCACGGCACGAGCATTGGCGGCGGCGCGCAAGGCGCCAACCTGTACTCGCAGACGGGCTTCGCCGTCAACGGCATGCACGGCGCGCTCACGCCGCCGCCGCCTCCGCCGCAGCCGGGACCACCCGGGCAGCAGGGCGTGCACGACCACTCGGACGAGGAGACGCCCACGTCCGACGAGCTCGAGCAGTTCGCCAAGCAGTTCAAGCAGCGGCGCATCAAGCTGGGCTTCACGCAGGCCGACGTGGGCCTGGCGCTGGGCACGCTCTACGGCAACGTCTTCTCGCAGACCACCATCTGCAGGTTCGAGGCGCTACAGCTGAGCTTCAAGAACATGTGCAAGCTCAAGCCGCTGCTGAACAAGTGGCTGGAGGAGGCCGACTCGTCCACGGGGAGCCCGAGCAGCATCGACAAGATCGCGGCGCAGGGCAGGAAACGCAAGAAACGGACGTCCATCGAGGTGAGCGTGAAGGGCGTGCTGGAGACCCATTTCCTCAAGTGCCCCAAGCCGGCGGCGCAGGAGATCTCGTCTCTGGCGGACAGTCTGCAGCTGGAGAAGGAGGTGGTGCGCGTGTGGTTTTGTAACAGGCGACAGAAGGAGAAACGAATGACTCCTCCAGGAGAGCCGCAGGGCCACGAGGTTTACTCCTCGCACGGCGTCAACACGGACACCTCGTCGTGCCACGATCTCTGACCATGGAGGCTTTCCACACGGACACGCAGAGGAAATCTATCAGCTTTGTTTTTGTTTTGTGTTTGTTTGTTTTTTTTTTCCTGGATGATGATGGTGATGGTGATGATGATGATGGTGATGATGATGATGGGTCCACTTTCTCCAGCACTCAATAATTTCCGTTAAACGAGAAGGGCACTGAGAAAGAAAACAATGAGAAGCAACTGTTACTAGATTTTTTTTTAGTTGTTGTTTTCGTTTTTGTTTTGTTTTGTTTTTTAATCTCCGGTCTTGTGGGCATTAAACACGACAATGTTTTATTTGAGATCTCAAACGGAAGTGATCTACCAAAACGCGTTGTTTTTTATGTATTACAGCAAGAATATGAATACGAAATTGTGCCTATTAAAAATGACCTCCCAGCGCCTTGGTTCTCAAAAAAGGAACAAAAAAATACACAAAAAAATACAATTACACATCAGGTTGAGCAGGCTGTTTTTTAAATTTGTTTATTTTTATTTTGTCATTTTTCCCACACATCTATACTATCGCATGCTCCTTTATTTGTTTTATACGGTGGAGCTGATGATTCGCTCCTTTCTCGGTGTTTAATTTGCACATTTTTTTATTTTTATCTTTATTTTTGACGAACTCTTTAAAAACTCGAGACAGACTGCAGTGATGTATTTTAATTTGAATCGGTCCTCATCGCTCACGGTGGAGTCACTCCGCAGCCATCTTACAGCCTCCTCGCCGAACGACACCTTATACTGTGGCTTCGAGACGCCTTTTCTGCCATCTCTAAAGCAATGTTCTCGCCCTCTCTCCGCGCGCTGGTTTGTTTTTGTTTTGGAGGAGGGGGCTGCTCTGCTCAACTGCAGGCCTGGACGACACAACTCGAGTGAAGCACTTCAGCATCCCCCTCATTCTCTGCAGAAACGACATTCAGAGGAGCAACGCACAAGCGAACCAAGTGAGGAGCGAAGGAAGAGAGAAAGAGAGAAAGAGAGAGAAAGAGAAAGAGAGAGAGAGAGAGAGAGAGAGAGAGAGCTGAGTCGGGTCGGGTCATATTCCTCTCACCACGGACCACATTACTGTGTACTGGATACTAAAGCAGAAGCGAGATGCTCGCCAGTGAAAGCGTTGCGCTATAGCCTATACTTATTTTATTCTACACGTTCACTATCTAAAGTTTTATAATCTTAAATACTCCTCTTATCGGTTTATTTCTGAACTATTTTTTCGAATACTGTACAGTTTTGTATATTACAACCTTTTTGAAGTTATTAATTTAAACAAATACCGTTTAGTTATTCATGCACTTAGTGATGTACAAAAAGATATTTTCATTAAAAAGAAAATCGAGAAAAAAAATGAATGGACGTTTTCGGCGGTCCTCTTCCCAAATTCGAGAACAGGTCGAGCGATTATTTATTTTCAGTATAAAGCTTGTATTATGTTTTTGGAGCAAACTGTATAATGTATGTTGTAATAAAACAACTTGTTGGTACAATTGGAGTGTTACATCTGAGCAGTGTTTCAGCAGAGACAGACAGAAAGACAGACAGATAAATAGATAGATAAACAAATAGATAGACAGATAATCAATTATGAGGATGTGAATTTGTCACGTGTTTTAGTAAATATTAGTAAACATAATATTTTATTATTATTATTATTATTATTATTATTATATTTTTGATGTTATTTCTTGCTATTTCTGGTTATCACGCTAGGCCTGACTGTATTGAATATGAGGGAACCTACTGTAATATTGTGCAGCTATAAATGCTTCAGTCTGTTCACAATCCTTTACTGTTTTATCGATTCCAGTTATAGATTTATTGTTCTTGGAATTTAATTTTGACATTTTTAACATTCTATATGGGAACCTAAAATTCCTTTATAATGACCTCATCTCTGGTTTACATTTGGTGCGATCCGGAAATGAAAGCATGAAAGCGGGAATGTTAACGGTGCTGTAGATAGAACAGGAATCACCTCCCTCGTGGTGACAGAGGCCTATTGCATATATATGTTGTTTGTTTGTTTGCGGGCGCGTGTATGTGTGTGTGTGTATGAGAAAGAGGGGGGGAGAGGAGAGAGAGAGAGAGAGAGAGAGAGAGAGAGAGAGAGAGAGAGAGAGAGAGAGAGAGAGAGGAGGGGGCCTTGCCTTGAAATGCAGCGCCTGACTGGAATACTAATTCAGCCTAATATATGCATTTCCTCAGTCTGCAACTTTCAATGACCATGGGGAGGTTCAGATGAGGAGCCAAGCAGCTGAAATAGCCGAGTCTAGTTTGGGAAAGGAAGAAAAAAACATTACTTAACTAGGCTTACAAGAAAATTCTGCTTAAGAAACAAAAACAAAACAAAACAAAAAAATCACATTTCAGTAGTTTTACTGCTTTGGTCCCAGTATTGGAAAACACAAAAGAAAACAGTTTTATTATTATTATTATTATTATTATTATTATTATTATGATTATTGTGGTTGTTGTTGCTGTTTATAGCAAAACCTCAAAGTAAAACTCTGAGCATCACTTTGCGGTTTGGTTGTTAAGCAGCAGACTAAGAGCAGCTTGTTTGGTGCAGGATTTACATAATGGCCCTATGAGCTCTGCGCCCTTCCGACCAATTTGTCCCGCGCTGCTGCAGTTTCCAGCTCGCCACAGGGGGTCGCACGGGGTCTGGCTGAAGCCTCACAGAGCACTGTTCCCTCAGTCTGACCCACCGCTCCTCAGTTTAGATCTTGCTCTGCTTTAGCTCACCTGATTCAACTCATCAGCTCATCAACGTGCTCATGAGGTTAAAGGGAGTGTGCTGGAGAAGAGAGGACAGAGAAAAACTCCCATATCAGCTCAGGGAAGCACAGTGGAAAGCCTGAGCAGGTCACAGCGTAAAGAAGCAGGATATTCTGGATGGACTGTCCTTCATTAGCTGAGTGATAAGCAATGATTTACCAGATCAATTGATTTATCTCCTACAGCCTTAGAAACATTTGAATGGCTTCCATCCAAAACGTCCTGCTTCTCAATAAACTTTGTGTTCTTCATACAGAGGCACTGATCTGATACCAGGTATCAGACTGATATCATCAGAAAATGTTGAACTGGATATCAGAGGCAGAACCAGAATGAAACCGATCTAATCCTGTGACAAATCTGTACCGAAAAAGCACACACTCACACCATGTGATGTGATGCTGTTAGCTGTGTATTTCTTCCTGGGAGATTGCAGTGTTTGAGTAGTTTGAGCTACTTTTAGATGCTCCTCTTAAGTGAAGTGGTTTAATAAAAAAAGGGCATTTTAAAGTTTACTAGTCTTTACAGAAAAAATATTGGACTCGATATCTACCAGTAAAAAAGTGGCATTGTGCCATCTCTATTTCTACACTCAAAAATAAAGGTGCCAAAAGGGTTCTTTGGTATGATGCCATTTTATTGCTCTCAAAATAACCTGAATGAACAGAATGAGTTTTTAAAGAAATATCTAATTTTACTGAAAGGTTCTTTATAGAAGCAAAAGTGCTCCTTCTAAAGTATTGCTCAAAAGAACCTCTCTCTCTCTGCTGCAGACTGGAAGGCATGTAAACAGCAACACTGCTAAAAGTACAAGTCTTTGGGGAAACTCACCTCAGAATCCAACAGAAGTGACATGACATGATGAAAGGCATCATCACGCCACACTCAGCCTGAAACCAGAACACAGAGACATTTCAGTTTATTAGTAATTAGTTGAGGCTTTTAAAGCAATAGTAATTGGTGGAATATAAATTATGCAGATATGAAAGGATTACCTCTTGGGTTAATCCAAATTCTGAGGAGTAATAGCTGTAGTGAAATAAGCTCATGTTGACCATCCGCTTAATAGATGATGTTGGATTCTCCCAGTAGTTGTGGACTATGTGTGCTGATTAATTGCACTGACTTGATAAGATACTTGATTTTACACTTGATTTTTGTGTATATAAATACACACACAAGTCTGTGAGTAACGAGCAGCCTACTGGAGCCATTGTTACAACAAATATCCTGACTCACATTTAAAGAGTATTTTTATGCGGTAGAAAAATGGCTGCCCATGCACTCAAGTAGCTTTTTGCAGCAGTATCTGTATACACCACACATCAAAGGCCTAATAACATACAGCAAAGATCAAGTGAAGGTATAAATATTGGCTTTAGCATATTAACTTTAGTACATAACCTACAGTACACAGTGTAAAAAAACTCCCAGTAATGCTGCTTTGCCCGATTCATTCATGCCAACATAACACCCAGTCACACACCACTGCCATGTTGGCAGCACGGCTTTGCTGAGAAGGATCAACTACAAAGTAAAATCTGGTCAGTGATGGTTCCTTTTCATTGACGGATAAAGTAGAGGGCAGCTGGCAAACTGTGCAGGAACAAATGGGCTACAGTAAGTATTTGTAAACCTACAATATTGTGCAAAAGTCAGATGGCCAAATGGCCATTAAGTACAAATTATAGGTGAGCCCAGAGCCCAACATTAAATGTGTTTGGGATTAGCAGAAAATGCAACCAACTTCTAAGACTGAAATTTGTTTAAAAGAAGCATAGCAGCCAAGAAGCCGTTACTGAGAAAAGGAAATAGACAAAAAAGAAGAAAATCTGCAATTCATGAGCTGCTGGTGTTTTCAGAACAATGATCTGACCACCCCAGAGTCCAGACCTGAGCAGCACTGAATTTATCTAGGATTATTTGGATCATGAGAAGCAAAACATGCAACCAATTTTTATGACTAAACTTTGGATGTGTGGAAAATATCCCTGCAGATTTTTCTGAAAAACTGAAAGTAAGTCTGAAAAAGCATGGAAGCTGCAATGAAAGCAGAGGGAGGAGACACTAAGTCCTGATAAATCACATATGTATTTAGTTCTTGAGGCTGAAATAGGAATATCTTAAATTTTCATTTTGGACTGGAAAATAAATAAATGAAGGGTGTTCCCTGACTTTTGCACAGTACTGCTGTAGGCGTTTCTGATAAAACAGCCAATGAATGCAGGTACAAACTTAATTATTGTATTTCAATACACAGTGGCCACAGCTCTGAAGTCAACTAGAGCGCACACATATTGAGAGGATGGTTAATACGACTCTTGTATTTGTGTTCAAAGCTGTTTGTAAAATGATACGGCCCTGTGTAGCCTGTATAGCAAAGAGTTGCTGATTTCAAAGTGGTGAAATTAGCAGGCAGAAACAAAGCACTGCATATGAATGTAACCATGCTGTAAAACACTATACCAACACCTCCATATACTAGTTTAAATGACAGGTACAGGGATTCCTAGTCATGAAAATCTACATTTGCTTTTATTCTCCTTGCCTTTACTACACTGTAGTGAGTACAAAGATCACAGAACATTCTAGATCTGTGTGGTTAAGTTACAGGTGTTTTTAATCCCATTTCTTAATTGCAACCAGCAATCTTCCATGTAGACATTTAGATTCTAGGTTCAGTGTTATGACTGGCTCAAAAAGTATCTTCCCCTGTGATTCATGTTAAATTTAGCTTTAAAACTCCACTGGCTGCTAGCAGTCCCTTTTTGGCAGCTACTCTAGCCAGCGATTCCCATTATTTTCTTTCTTAAAAAGGAAAGTCAAGGTCATTTTACTGAGAAACATCATTTGCATAAGCATGCACAGAAGAAACAGATAAAACAAAACGTAAATGAATGAAAATACATTTTGCATGCAAATTAAAGCTTCTCACATGAAAGAGTAACAGCATGTCAACAACATACATGAATCTGCCTTACAAGAAGCAGCAGTCAAAGAAGGGCTTTTAGTTGCCGTGTAATTTCCAACAAGTGTCTAATGTATGTGATATGCGGCTATTTACAGCGCAGCAAAAAATCTTTTCAAGTAAATCACTACTACTCAAATGATATCTTCATTTGCAGCACTGAGGCTGATCACTCTTTGTCCTATATGTTCCACATTAACTCATTATCTATGCTACTCACTCCATTAATTTTGCTGGTTTTATTAGCCAAGTGTTCTGCCTGCATCTGTACTGTTGACAGGCATTTCCGAAAGCTAATCTGACAGCTAATGACTTCATTAAGTGCAGCACATTAATTGGCTTACTTCAGGGGCTCATCTTTAATTGGCATAAATAGATTCACACCTGAGCGCGTCTTCAACCTAAGCCGTAATACAAAGAGGGACAAATTTCACAGATCAGACACATTTCTATCAGCCCAAACGGTGCGTGAAGCAAATAAGGCGGTTTGGAAAAAGCCAAAAACCACAGCAGTCGAGCCCAAACATAAACAGTGGCGGCCGCATCAGGACGCCGGAGCAGACATTAGAGGTAATTAATGTGACGAGGCCTGAAATAAAGAGTAGCGTGTGACAATGCAATTAACACCACTGTTTACCTTGCCATACTGCCATCAGTGGCGTTCTATGAGTGCTGCTCTAATCCAGCTGACAGTGGGGAAGTGTGGACACCCTAGAAATGTGTGTGGAATGCAGAATGTGGGCCTAAATGTGGCAAACAGGAGCTGTATGAGGTACAGGAGGGAGCAGCTGGTGCTGGTGTTGACTGGGCCATCTCCCTAGAGCCAGGCCAGCCTGTGTGGGGGAAGCGGCTGTGACAGGCATATTCATGCTTCAAAGGGGATAGCACAGCATACATGCTGAATAGAGACAGCACCAATCCGATACTCAGTATCTGTACTGGGTTGATACCAGCAGAAAATGCTGGATTGGATATTGGAAGGAAGAACAAATAAATATGAAAAAGTGAGAAGCATCAACCAATCTGTTACTGTGCAAAAGTCTAAGAGCACCTTTCTTTAGTTTGCGGTCAAAATGGTCAGTTATTCTTTTTTTCAGATGATTTTCTAAAGGGGGTTGGATGCACTTGTACAACCATGCAAAACCTGGTAGATGACCAAAAATGTCACCATCAGATAAACTGGATTTCCACAGGTGTTTCTGTCCATCTTTTTACTGTGAGAAGACAGTTCAATATTATGGGCCTGAAAGGATGTGTAGCTGTCAAGAAGCCGTTACTGAGAAAACCAACAGACAAAAAAGAAGAAAGTCTGAAAAACCGCTGGTGTTCTCAGAACAATTGGCTGACAACATGAGAGTCCGGACATCAACATCACTATATTTTATTTAATATATTATATTTTGAAATTATATTGTTTTTAGAGCCTGTAAAATACATACACACACACATATAGTTTTTATATATATATATATATATATATATATATATATATATATATATATATATATATATATACATACATATATATATACATACATATATACATATATATATATATTTATATATATATATTTATATATATATATATTTATATATTTATATATATATATTTATATATTTATATATATATATTTATATATATACATATATATGGCATAATTTGAAAACGTCTGAAATGAGAAATGAGAGTAATAGAAATGGCCCAAAATTACTTGGAAAAACGTCTGGTTCCATATACTTACATTAAAAGTAATATGTAATGTTTTTTCCTTCTTCCGTAAAGTTGCCATTTTGAAGATACAAGCTTTTTATTTCGACAGCAGCGACACACACACACACACACACACAATAAAATCTCCAACAGTGACACTAAACCACCAACATAGGGGTTTGTATTTGTTACAATGCTTAGGAACCTGTGACTGCAATTAAATCTAAGTGTCAGTAGGCCAACTTAGTTAGACATGCAGAAGGATGCAGCACAGAAAGAAAGCGGAATACAGGAAAACAACCAATGGGAATATTCAAGTTTGGGAGCATTGGGACTGTACTAGGTTATGTGAGAAGAAACTCAAACATTCAATTACATAATACGGGAAACACTGCCATCTAGGGGTAATGTCTGGCTTCTGAGACACTGGATGTTTATTTTGTGTACAGATTTCAATTACTAACAATCCTAATAGCCCAGGACCAACTGTCCCTTAACTATATGCATGTTGAGACTGTTTAAAATACAGGTCGTTTCCTAGACTGACTTTGCCTAAATGATATGACTTTTAATAGTGATAGCATAATATATTATTAGTGATTATGTAGAACAAATTATTCAAGGCATGAGAAGAGTCCTGAATTGAGTCACATCTCCAAAAATACAGAACAATGGAACACTAATAAAATGGGTTAAAAACATATGCCATAGCCATGTAAATCTGAAATGTATCTATTTACTTTTTCCAGTATCTGTGCTGTTGTACTAGATAAAGGGAAAGCAAGACTGAGCTGGGCCTTATTTAAGGCCATGTTGACAGGCAATTTTACCATTGTATATTGTTGAGATTCTTCTGGAGATAAATTCTGTTCTCTATAATCTACTATGCTTTTTTTCTATTTGCCAGCTCAATTGCTGAAGGACTAAACTTCTGTATCTATACTGCATCACAATGTTATCTGTTTATTTTTTTTGGTCAGACTTGCATGACTAAACTGTGATAAAAATTAACCTGTAACGTAAATAATTTGAAAAATGACCTCGAAAAACAGAATGCATGTCAATAATGATCTTTAATGTCAATATATACAGAACCTGAAAGAAAAATAGAATTTTAAAAATTAAATGAAATAAATACAATATGATACAATTTCCACAATGTCTTTGTAGAGATATTTATGGAAATGATATATATATATTTATATATATAATTTTTTTCAATCCAGCCGCTCTTGGAGCAGAGGGTTCCCTTCCCCAATCCCATGAGTCCTTGGCTCGCAGTCCAGTCCTCTGCCCTAACACTGGATCCAAAGAGTGCCCCAACACTATGAAGTCTAGTCCACATTCATTGACCTTTGATAGTTTTTTGTTTGTTTGTTTTTTTTACCTTTAGCTTATTTTCATCCAACACAAAAAAATAATTTTAAAGGCGGTCCGAAGTGCACAGAAAAAAGTGGGGTAGGGGAGAAAATAATAGAGCATAGAGCGAAAGCAACAACCTGCCGAGCCTCAGTGCAAATGTGCTTAAATATATTCGACAAGACGAGGATTGATCAGGTCCGACGAGAGCTGGCAGGTGTGTCTGACGATCTCTCTGGTGCTGAATTCTACACACACGCTCTCTAAGCTTAAAGAAGCCTCCGCTCGGCGCTCTTGAGCTTCTTGAGGTAACGTCAGACGGGTTCAGACTCGAGGCTCATCCCCTGCCGACGCTGATACGATTCCTTCAGCGGCATGCTAAGTGGCTTAAAACCGGAGTCTTCCACCCGCTCCTTCCCCAGGCGGTGAGCCCAGGTGATAAATTGTCAAGAGACAGGAGAAGGGAATTCCTAAAGCGTGGGTTGAGCGAGAGGAGGAGGGGAGGAGTGGAGAACGAGCAACATGCTTACTGAACTGGGAAAAGAAGGTGGAACACAGTTTACTTAAAGCAGCTTCAGGTCGGCCAGTCACAGTGAATGAGAATAGGCGCTGGTGCTTTTTTCTTACTCCGCGGGAAAAAGGGGGAGAGGGAGAAAGAAGACAGAAAAGACAGATTCAGGGAATGCATAAGAGGGAAAAGAGGGAGAAAAAACAAAAGAGAAGAATAGTCATTGCAGCCCCTGCAGCTGTCTAGATTTGAATTTCAGCCATTTTTCGCGAGGTCTCTCAGTCTCTCGACTCGCTAAACAGCCTCCCTGATGTGAAAGCATGGTGTCTTGAGGTCCAATTACAGGGAGCAGGAGCTCAGGGTAAATGCCAAAACATTGGAGCTGGTGGGGACAGGAGAAAATGTAAATAAATAGACAGAAAGAGGATGGGGGGGGCACAGTGAAGTTAACACTGCTCTGTTCACGACATGTCTGTGGAAGTCAGTTTCTTCATGCTTCTGCGCTGGGCCAAACTGGAAGCTGCCACGGGTTCCAGGACTGGCTGACATGTCTTATGGTTCAGCGCAGAGTATGTGGCGGCCATTGCTCCCTGCAAGGAACAGGGATAATTAGCCTAGCACTTCTAAACACAATAAATTTCAAAAGGAGCAATGAGGTCAGGATCCAAAATTAACCATGGCTCGGAACAAACACATCATCAAAGCTTACAAAAATGACACATTATTTTTAAATGCCCCATAACGCATGATCCACCACACATGCAGCCTACAGAGATGGTATATACAATACAGACGGATCTCTGTATTTTCTGTCTGGGTCATTCCCTGACACTGATGTGAATTTAAGGCTAAACTGTCCACTGGCATAGAGTGGGTGAAACATGGAGCAGCAGCAGAGAACACGTAACAAAAAGAAAACTAGTAATTCGTCAACTACTAATATGAATAAAACTCGATGGTCAATATGCTTGCACAATGCGTTTCAATGCATCGATTGGATTAAAGCAGCGGTCAACAATCAAATCACACATAGGGTCAGCGAGTCTGCAGACGTTTATTCCAATCCAGCAGAAGTACACCCGATTCCAGTTGTTTAATGAGCTGATCTGTTGATACTTACTAGACTCCCAACTGATGACACAAAAAGCTAGAGCTCAAACTCTAAAGGTGCTCTAGTACCACTCATAAGTTAGAAATTTTGTGCCTCAACAGATGGATTTTCTGTTTTCTTTTATTTATGTATATTTGTCTGGATGCAACTGATGAAAATGCACACAAATGACATTACGTATGACAAACAAATAACTGTGAAAGAAAACAACTGTGGAAAAAAATTGTGGTCAATTTAAATAACAGCTCGAATAATTGTGACCAGGCAATAAATAATTGTGACAGGCCAGCAGCCGCACAGAGCCTTTGCAGATAAGACTGGTGATGCCTAATTTCAAGGATTTTAAGGTTAGAAAAATGGCCTCATTAAGCCTAGAGATGCCCCTAAAAATTAAAAACGGGGCAAAATCAAATAAAAATAAGTTTATGATGGTGCATGAGGTTCACGTTAGAGCCCGACTGATATACTGGTTGGCCGATAATATTTACTCATATTTTAGTCTCATAAATTTATTGGTAACGGCCATTGTGGACTACACTGTTTAAAGTAAGTTATAACTCAACTATTCATAGTGGTTAAATACTAATTAACTTTCATTCACATTCAGTGTAATTAAACTGGTTTCTGCAGAAAGTGTTTTCAGATTGTACTTTTGAAACTACCCTTGTTAGTGTTAACGTAAACTATTGGAGTCTGTTTAAATTGTATCGATATAAAATTGTACTGACAAACAGTATCGGCTATCAGAATTTTCAGCTTCTTAACATCTGTATCTCCAATACTTTTTAAATCAGTCGGGTCCTAGTTCATGTACTAAGACTTGCAACACAGCACTTTCTCAGGCTCTTCTGCCGGGTTTGTCTGTAATTTACCTTGACCAAATGAGGTGCGTCATGCCGGGTAAGCTGAAAGTGGGGGAGCTGGTCCCGGCAGGCGATCCACGAGTGTTTCAGCACCTGCTCCGCAGAATAACGCTGATGTGGGTCCACGTGAAGCATGTGAGACAAAAGATCCTGTGGGTAATACAAGAAGAGGATATTCAAGGCTCATTTTGGTATCATCATATTAGCAAAATGACTTGCTAAAGTTTCAAATTCCTGTATTTGTACATGTATAAACATGATTACATTGAGCTAGCCAACTCAATAGCTAAACTGAATAAAATCTATTAACATTACAAAACTGCAACCTCACTTAAATAATGAGAACAAGAGGAAGGCATTCACATGGTTTATACACTATTTCTAAGTTGTAATTGAACAATGAAATCCCTTAATTGCCATTTAATTAGGGTTCCAAGTATTCATTAGTGGGAAAAGGAGTTCTACCTTTGAGGAGTCGGACACTGTGTCCCAGTTGCCTCCGCTGAGGGAGAACTTGCCACTGCCGATACGCAACAAAATCTCTTCGGGGGTATCGTTAGGTCCATTAGCAAAGGGGGTGTACCTATACAGATATTAAATTAGAACGATTAGAATGGTTACTCTGGTACCATTTTATATCAGTAGTTCCAAAATGACATTTCTTCATAAACTCAAGACTATTAAAATAATGATTTTAAGATCAGCAACATCAACACTATTTTAAGCTATGTAAAACATGTAAAATGTGTAAATGTTGAAAATATTTAACTAATAAGTCCCTTAAATAACAACAGATTGACCACTTCCAGTGCTGTCAATGCCTAAGTATGTGGTAATTATTCTACATTAATTCTTCTAGGTTTAAAGACAGTGTCTTACACAGGTCAACAAACTATGCAGCAGACAGATAAGTCTTAACTTGTATCTAAACACAAAAACGCACGCTCATGTGTATGATTGCTAAAACCTTACTGTTGAACCTCTATAGAGTTTTGTTAATACACAGTGACCGGTCACTCATTAAATATACCTTCAAGTCCACTTACTACATAGGTGCACTATGTAGTTCCACAATTACTTGACAAAATGGACAAACAGTGTAGATACAAGGTAGGTGTACTTAACAACATGGCCGGTCAGTGTATATATATATTGTTTGTGCACTGTGCTGGCCACAGTACAATAATGGGCTTTTTCATGTGGTGTCGTAAACAACTGCACTTCAACAATGACATGACTTGTCAGCTGGTTCAGGAGCACTTCAGAGACTAAAAGCTGTTCAAAGGACAGGTTTGCTGTTTTCAGGCCAAACCCTATTAAAATTGTTGTTTTCGATCATTTATAATCCTGCATAGCACAACAGCTTTAGCACTGAGATACTTAACACTGCTCTGCTGCTTCTCACTGGGCTTAAACACAGTCCTATGGGGCAACAGTTTAAGCTTTCAAAAACCCTGATAAACCTCTTTCTCCAAACTCACAGTATGACAACACATCCTTGGACATATTATAAAAAAAGGTCACAAATCATGCTTTGTCTTTATTTTGTATTTCTGCAAATTTGTTCTCAGGTCTACATTTGTTGTTTTTAACAAAAAGTTATGCCTGTTTGCAATGACAGCAACCAATGCCAGTTCTGAGGACCCCATACTCTGCACATTTTTGTGTCTTCTTTATGTCAACACAAGCAAATGAGGAGTTTGATTAATCAGTAAATGAGCTGCATCAGGTGTGCTAGATGAGGGGAAATACAAAACGTACATATTGTGAGATTCTGAGGACAGGGAAACGTTGGACAAATGTCTCAATAACGGACACCACAGTAAGTGATTTGCTGCCATAAAGAGTGACCACTTTATGGTTCCTCCATTATTCACTTTATTAGAGAACCAGTTACAAAAACGTTCTTTAGTTGAGCAGCTAAAACTGTTGTAGAATGTTAATCACCGACTCATTCTGGTTAACTTGCAAATAAATCTAAGCACAGTAGGATACAGAGGACTGATCAAATGTCAATATTAAGAAATTCACACATTCTATTCTAGAACTCTGGCACATTAACAGTTTTAAGAAAAACATGTAAATCTGTACTGTAAAACATTTTTCAATAAAAGAGGCTCATAAAAGTACATTATATATCTGTTCATTTTAATAGCTCATTTTATTATGCCAAGAAAGATGGCTTGTACTGAAGCGCTTGTGTGGATTTAAGAATACTCACCCAGCCAGCATTGTGTATAGAAGAACTCCCAGACTCCAGATGTCACATGCTGCATCATAACCCTGCCGCATAAGTACCTACAAAACCACATGCACAGACACAAACACAAAAAGGATGGAAAGAGAAACAAAACATATACCTTCTAAAACTGCCAAAACCTTGTGTGACAGTAGTTAATAGAACCAGTTTAAGCAGTATAAGTACATGGACTAGGCTAGGTGATATAGCAATACACATAATTACACTTAAGATTTGAGACTGGGGTTAAGTGCTTCACCTTAAAAATGTAATCAAGAGTTTGATTGTAATATCATGTAATATTATGAAAATAATCTGTATGACAACATCAAATCAGTTAAATCTTTTGAGTACCCAATCACCATTGTATGTCAACCTATGCTTTGTGTCAGAAGTCAGGCCATGCTTGGCTAACCTAATTTTTTATTTATTTTTTTTTAAATACCAAGACTAGCTATAAACATGAATCGCTTAAAACTGATTGATATACTCAATCAAGTCAGTGGAAAACAGTCAACAACCTTATCAAGAGAACAGCCATGACAGAACAGCATATACAGCGGTCTAACACTGTAACTAACAAATTCTTAAGTTTATGAAGGAAATAATAGCCTACCTTTACAAGAACAAAAAGGATTATGAAGGACAAGTTTTGTCATGCCCCAATTTCACTCTCTCACCTCAGGCGCCACAAAGTTGGCAGTGTAGCAGGGTGTGAGCAGCAGGCCGTTGTCTCCTCTCAGCTGCTTGGCAAAACCAAAGTCGCAGATTCTGATCGAATCGGGGTTCCCTGAATCATCCATGTAGAGAATGTTGCTGGGCTTTAGGTCCCTGTGAACCACCTGGTTAGGGGAGACCTCTGCTTGTTTATTACACATATGTCCAGTGTAAGTAGACTGAACATAGATTCAATGAAGTCTATATAGACTACACAGACTGAGTGAACATTTAAAACATCTGCTTGAAATTTCAAAAGTACTAGTCTCATCTAAACTTCTTTTCATACTGGTTGCAAAATATTTGAAATTAATATTTGAAAATGGGTCATGTTAATTAGGACCCAACCAATTTGGAAGTGTTACCGGCATGTATACTGATTTGTGGAGCTAAACACTGTTAACTAATAATATCAGGTGATCTTATGTATTGTGGTAAGAAATTAAACATGGCTCTTAGAGTTTCATTGAAAGAGTGCTTTACTGATATGATTGTCAGCGGTCAACTGTGAATTGTCAAATATGATTGCCGGTTTTCAAATGTCATTTATTAACCTTGAAAAAAACTACACAAAACTATTTAGGAGAAGTCATAAATAACAAATATTGTAGCGTGAGGTTTGAGGGCCTAACAGGATTCTTAGCGGTCTTGTTGGTTTCTGTTAATTCTGTTATTTTTTCATCAGTTCTCTTCATAGGCTTTTTGCATTACAGCACATTATGCACATGCTAAGGGTCAGGTTTGGATGTATTACACATGTGTGTTAGTTATTTTAACCATGTTCAATTTACTAGCGTAGTGTGTAGTGCTGTGATAGAAATGAACAGATCGTGATTGTAAGCTTAGCAATCTCTGTAAAGTTTATGGCTCTACCAGATGAGATTTTTTTTTAATATAATACAAAAAGCCACTGAATATAAGTGCTTTATCAGTGTCCTTATCAATGAATCCACATGACATCATCATCAGCCCATATTAACACCCTAATAGTAATGCCATGGCCATAACAAGGAATCTGATAATATGCACAGGTATGATTCTTTTGTGTTCTGCTGTGCAGTCGTGCTCATTGCTGATTCTGTATCTGTCTCACCCCTTGGCAATGCAGGTAGTCCACTGTTTTGGTGATGGTGTAGAGGACAGCACTAGCCTCTCGTTCTGAGAAGAACTTCTGCCTGAGAATCCTATCCAGCAGCTCCCCTCCCTTCATCAACTCTGTCACCAGATAAACAAATCTCCCCTCGTCGTACACCTGGGACACACAGAAAGAGGTAACACAACAGTAGGCTCAGTCATGCTCTGGTACACACAGACAGATCTACACAGATGAGACCTGCAGGGTGAAGTGGGGACAGAGACTCACATCTTTCAGTGTGATGATGTTTGGGTGCTGCCCGTACCGCATGAGAATCTCTATTTCCTCCGATGGGTCCCGCTTGCTTTTGTCAATAATCTAAGATAGAGTGAGGGCCAGAGAAATACATCAGTATAACAATTAAAATGTGACCTACACTAAAAGTTATATAAAAATGAAAATTCTAAATGCAGTGAATTAAATTTTATTCAACTGGAACAAAATAACATTTGCTTATGGACAAAGATTGTATAGTGACTTGTTTAGATCATTGTCATAGCCTGGTTATTACAGATTAAAAACAGTTGTTTTCAGCTTTTGTACCCTCTCTTAATTTTTTTTGTAATGTTGATCATTTTTTTTGTAATTTTTGAACAGCATTATAAGAGATAGAGAAGCATGTAACAAACTGATCACACAACGTTTGCTTGGATTTTACTGCCCTCTACTGGCTATGACAAATAAAAGCTTAATCTATGCATTTACTTTGTTTTTGTACAAAAACTCTTGTTTTTGTAGTGTGGCATCTCTCACCTTGACAGCAAACTCCATGGTGGTGACTCTGTGGATGCAGCGTTTGCATATGGAGTAGGAGCCCACGCCAATGTCCTCCTTCAGTTCATACACATCAGAGAACTGTGCAGTTCCACTGTGCATCTGTAGCAATTAACAAGCCACATCAATTTATATACCACTTACTGTCATAAAAGGTAAATCACAATGAGGCCACAATGACAGAATATCTCTTAAAAGTATTTCCACAAAACCTCCCACTATGCCGGGTCTTTTAACCTCAGATAGACATAGAACACCTCACTCTAAACCCATTCGATGTAGTATATATGAAACAAATTCACACCTTTGCGAGTTTACTTTTGTTCTTAAAAATTATTGTTGCTCTCATGATACTGGTTTAGACCTGAAGAAGACATATACATATTAAATGTGGAAGATTTCCATTACATGATTCTATTGTATCATGCAATCTTTATACAGTGCAGCATGAAAGCAACTAGACAGTGGATAATTTTTATGATTATGATTACAGTGACAACGAGGTTAAAATGTAGAATATCAGCATTACTTCAACTGTATCTACATACACTATATTAAGCATATCAAATAGGAATTACAGCTCTTTTGATACACATTCCCTCTACTTTATAATCTTAAATAAAAAGCGTAAGCATAATAGGTGACCCATAGATGCTGTGTATCTTCCCTGGTGATGCTCTGCTATGTCTGTAAAGCAGTTATTTACAGTTCCTGCTAGCTTTGCCTTCAGTCTGTTTTTCAGAAATTAAAATCCATGCTCAATGCAGGTGATTGAATTGGACACTCAAACATTGCATGTTTTGGACCTGAAAAAAATCTCACTGCTTTAATTAAACGCTTCAAGCCATCTATTGTGTTTTGAAGAATTTGGTTAGAGCAGTTAAGATGCTTGTGTACACTTCAGAATTCAGCTAGCTGCCTCCACTGTCAGTCAAGTTAAGACAAATGAGCGAGTTCCACTTGTAGCCACACATGCCTACACCACCATCTTTCACAGACAGCACTAGGTATCCAAATTCAGAACTTTTAAGGTCGCATCTGAATTACTTGAGTACTATAGAGTATCAAACAATTTCACGTCATTCACCAAATTTCAATATTTAAGTGTTGTCAGCATGTGAGCCAATAAGCATGTTTTGAATCGAGACTGTTGAATGACTGCTTAATTTACATTCTGCATGCATGCTATTAACATCAGCCCTTCTTGATCACATCATCAAATCAAAATTGTCAGCTCAGTTTTGTCCTACTGAACAGAGATTTTATAAATAGTAAAAAGTTTTCTTTAGTAAGTTGTGTTTTTTGGTGTTTAGTATATTTATTCGAAAGTATACATAAAATGGCAAATTATAACACATACAAAAAAAAGATTGTTGCATTCAGTAGTATCAAAACATTCTGAACGATACCCAGCCAAACCCACAGAAGTGATCTGATGCGGATCATGAGCAGCTTTTTCTTTGTTCACAAATTCTTTTTCTGTCATTTTGTAAGCAGTTATTCAGTGTCCCCAAGTTCAGTACAGTACTTTTGAACATCAAACAATTTAATGTTTTCAAGGCTTACACAGTCTCCTCGAAATGTACTGAAATAGCAAGGCCATTTCTTCTGTTATTTGCTTTACACTGGAGACATTTGGGTTTGAGATCAAAAGATGAATACGAGATGATAAATCAGAATTTCAGTTTTTATTTCCCTATATTTACATCTAGATGTGTAAAACAACTTAGAACGTGGCACCTTTGGTGGCAGACCACACAATGTTCAGGTGAGTCAAAGTAAAGAAACAGACAGTCTTTAAGTAAACAAAAGTAAATAATACTATTGTGTATCACTTGCTTGCAATAACTGCATCAAGCCGATGACCCAATGACATCACCAAACTGTTGCATTCTTATTCTGCAAAGCTTTTCCAGGCTTTTACTGCAGTTTCTTTCAGTTGCTGTTTAGTTCTCCTTTCGAGGGTAAAATACACTCTCAATTGGGTTAAGGTATGGCGATTAACTTGGCCAGTCTAAAACCACTTTTTTTTCCCCCTGATAAAGTCAAGTGTGTTTTGGGTCATTTGCTTTGCTGCTTAAAGAAGTTCCTCCTGGTTAGACTGGATTAATTTCTCTGTAAATTAGCAGACAGAATCTTTCTATACACTTCTGAATTAATTCTGCTGCTACCATCATGAGCTATATCAGTAATAAAGATTAGTGAGTCTGTTCCAGAAGCAGCCATGCAAGCCCAAGCCATGATACTACCTCCACTGTGCTTGTCTGACGAGCTTGTATGTTTTGGATCTCCACACTTCAGTGGAGGTTAAAAAACTTGAAAACTTTTGTGGCTCATCTTTGTATTTCTTTGTGAATTCCAATGTGGCCTTTCAACTGCTGATGGGTGGTCTGTATCTTGTGGTATAGCCTCTAAATTTCTCTTCATCGAATGGTGGATTGTGATGCCTTCACCCCTGCCTGGTGGAAGTTGTTGGCAATGCCACAAGTGCTTTCTTTCTTTTTCCACAACATTCCAAATTGTTGTATCTGCTATGTCTAATGCTTGTGCAATGGCTCTGATCAATTTTCCCTCATTTCTTCAGCCTCAAAATGGCTTGCTTTCCACCCATAGCCAGTTCTCTGGTCTTCATGTTGTGTTATCCTTTTTAACAACAAATTCAGTCTTCATAGGCAAAGCCCAAGGCTCAAACCAAGAGTAGACATTCAGAGCTACTAAATGTGTGAACAATCTAACAGGGCACACCCGGGCAACAAGTAACCTTTCATTATTTTTGTTCACTTGAAAAATTGCTGGGGTTCAAACAAAAGATGCTGTGCACCAAGTTGTTTAACAGTTCATCTTTTGATCTCAAACCTAAATGTTTTCAGTGTACAGCAAACACAAAAGAACTGTCCTTGTCGCTATAATACTTTAGAGGAGATTATCAACGGTAAAGCTCTCACTGTTGTATTCCTCCTCTTTATAATAACCCTTGTCTCTACCTGACTATTATTTTTCATTTTCATGATGACCTGCTTTCATGGTACAAACCCTTCTTTAGTTTTCATGTTCAGAGACAGCAACAGAACCCAGGTGGAAATGCTACATATAGAATCAATGCCAGACCTTTTCTTAGCCAAGAAACAATTAAGCCACAATTAGTACATTTGCTTACTTAGGTTACTTGGGACAATTAAAAGACAAGTGACTGCTATATGGTTCATCCAGTATAGCTGCAAATATACTTCAAGTACTTATGGCGGCACTGAATTTGTTATACAAGTTAACATGATTCATTAACATGATTCATAGTGGTAACTCCATAAACTTCATCCATACTGATATTCTAATTCAAACCCTTTCATAAAATTTTATGACATGAAAAAATCCTCTATTATTCTGGCATGAATTTCCATGCAACAGTATCTCTCTGACAGGTTGCATCACCAAAACTAAATCAGGCATGCACTCAAATCAACACAGAGGTGTATTCTAAAATAGAGGCAGTGACCACAGTATCCTACATAAAAGCAACCCACATACATATAAACTCAAAATATTCTGGTCCTCAACTGAGTTACTTTTCTTTAGTCTCATCCTGAGGCTGAGGCCAGCTTTTGCAAATACCTGTTCTAAACAGACAGTACATTGGACAGGACCATCCTAACAGTTAAAGTAGGAGGATATTATGTGAAAAATGTTTTAACACTCTAAATTGACAGTATGGGCAAAGGAAATGTAAATTCTCTCTACAATATTCTACAAATACTGACTAAACTTTTTCCTGTTCGACTGATAAATAGACATTTTGTTGAAAAAATAACAATCTCACAGAAACTATATGCTCTCAGGCAGGGGTAAACATTTTGGTCAGGCAACTCAGGCCAGCAAGCCAATTAATTTTTTGTTCTAAACTGGACCAAACAGGTCTTTTAAGTGGGAAAAAAAAACAGCAAGAAAAATCTCCAAGGCATGTGGCCACTCAGGCCATATGCGCTGCATTTTCAAAAGCCATATTGTGAAATGTTGTGGCCAAGGCGATATACAATGTCTACCACTGCTCTCAGGTCTGCTCATACTACCTTGTCTTTATCACATCCCTTTGTATAACTATTTTCTACATCAGAAGGCGGTGTTCAAACTGGATATGCAACGGGACGTGATAAGGACTTGAGGTGATCTGAGCAGACCTGAGAACAGAGGTAGACATTGCTTATTGCCAGTTTGACCACTTCCTTCTGATGTACAAAATACTACATGGTCTAACAACCACTTGTTTAGCCAAGCTTCTTCACTTCTATTGCTCCATATACATAGGCCCCTAACTTCAGGTTGGTTATTGCTAGGAGCAATGTTTTGGACCCTAAACTATGGAATTCCTTTGACCCTGCTCTCCTCCATCAGAGCCCCGCTAAAAACTCAACTCATTCATCTTCATAATGTCACGATTTTTTGGCTTTATGTCTTTTACTGTTCTTCATTGACTTGTGCATTTAAGAAAAGCTACTTTGGGTATAAGGACTGTGCTATTCAACTTAATGTTACTATTACTAAAGTTAAATTTATGTAACAGCAACAAATTACGCTATAACGTATAGCATCTGTATAACTACAAAGTTGTTTTGATTTTAAATGAGCTACAGGAATAAAAATGTGCTAATTAAAAAAATATATACTTTTAATTTATACATACATACATACATACATACATACATCATCTAAACCGCTTATCCCTCTGGGTCGCGGTGGGGTGCTGGAGCCTATCCCAGCAGTCATTGGCGCGGAAGGCAGGATACACCCTGGACAGGTCGCCAGTCCATCGCAGGGCAGACAGACAGACATACACATTCACACACTCACTCACACCTAGGGACAATTCAGCATGTCCAATTGGCCTGACTGCATGCTTTACTTTTAATTTATTGCTTGCAAAAATGTGCCAAAAGTCTAACCTTAGCTATGGTACAATACTCCTCTAAGGTTAGGGTTTACACATTCTTGTAGAATATAAGACTATCCAAGACTGAATAAATGAGCAGCAAATCTGGTTTCAGATCAGCATTACATTATCACTTAAATTATCACCCAAACAGACCCACAGATGACTAATTCTGAACCTAAAGGGTGGTGGAAAACAGCCCACTCTTTGAGATTCACCCACAGGAATGTTGGTGAGAGTGGGTGAAAGGAAGAGGTGAGAGGGGAAATTTTGTATCTGTGTGTGTCCATGGTTACCAGCACAGCTTACCTGCACGATGGGGAGGATGTTGACTAGAGGAGAACTCTTGCTTTCCTCCAGGGAGGCCGGTGCTACAAAGCTGAAGCCTTTGAAGAGCTGGTGTGCGTTTGCACTGGGAGGAATGCCTGGAGAGTCTGGTTGGGGGTGTAGGGAGGAGACACACAGTAAGACACAGCATAACCACATAGTGTCTGAATGCACTGCACAAAAAAAAGGATAAAGTAATAAAGCTATTGCCCAAAAGATGAAGTTCAAAGGTATGCCAAGTCTTGTCTTAGATGATACCGTTAGAAGCACATGGGTGCGATGTACTTTAACAGTTAAAGTATTAAATTCTAACTTATTTTAAATGAAGTGCATTAGCTATATTACATTACTATCGAGTAGCGCTGCAGTGAAGAGCAGGTCTTCTCAGAAAAGCGCTTCTGTACAGCTGTAATACAAGTACCATTCATAGTTTTGACCCTTATCTGTCTCTTTCAACAACAGTCACTGTAGCACAGTGACAGGAGGAATCCAAGGCTAACGCATCTGATGAGCTCACGTGTGGAGTTTTATGTCTTCTCAGACTCTTGGCTGGTTGAACGGTAGCTGAATGTCCTCTAAAGCCAGACATAAAACTGTGTGATTTTAGAAATCTTGTTCTTTGGTGAATTGCACTGTACATTTAAACAGATCGTCATGTACAGACAAAGCCTATGATTTATATAGTCACACTGTATGAAAACGCTTGGTCTGACTGACATGGTACGTGAAACACAGCTCCTACAGACAGCTCTGTGCCATGAACAACTTCAAATAAAGCTGGTTCATTCAAAATAACACACCGTGCACAAAGTATTGAGCGGACACACTGAGAGCAGTGCTGCTAACACTGTGCACTGAAGCTAAAAGCAGGCGATGATGCACACAGTAGGACAATGCAGTCTGTCTACAGCCTATTTTACACAAAATACAAAGTCAGCATATATGGACTTTGGTAGCAAACGACAACTTTTTTCCCCTCCATTTTGCTAGCCTATGTATGTCCACCTGTGTTGGGGAAGTAGTTGTGACTGTGTTTGTGTTTAAAAACAGACTAAAAAAAATATATATATATATATCACACAGTGTATTACTGGCAGGAATCCGCCAATGTGGAATGATCAAAGGGACCAGAAACTTTGTGTCCAACTGCAGCACTTTAAGTAACACTTCTCTGTGTGAGCAGAGCCTCCTTCACTGCATTTGTTCATTAGTGCGGCAGCGTATACTCAGCTTTCACTGGAATGTTGGTATCTACATTTTTTAGGAGCACGAGTAAATGAGCACGGTATCGACTCAATACTCGATACAAGTATTGGTATTGATGCATCCCTACTGTTAAAAGTAATTTTTGTGTATTCCATGTATTTTTATTTAGCTTTCACGATTCACTGAACAAAAAAACATTGTTATTTACACTCCTAAAATACATGACAGGAGACACTGAAGATTTGGAATGATCTGTCTTACCCTTTGGAGTTTTGGCTGTGAACTCAGGGTCAAAACAGAATGTGTCATCCGGTTTTCCCGCTGCTGGTTTGAATGGAGGCTGAAGTTCTCGTCGGTAGAGTTTCTGTAAGCAGGCAGAATAGGCCCATTACTACTGATTACATAGGTAATCGAGTTAATCTACCAATCATTTTGGTAATTAAATCAAGCAAACAGAGTTTTTAAATAGGCCAAACAGTAACAATGGACTGACCAATAACAAACCTTAGTGAGCCTTTCAAAAATTCCAAATTATTTTATTGAAAAAACATAAACTAGCAAGCTTTCAAAAAGGCTTTTCTATAAAAAAATAAACAAATAAACCCAGAAGAATGCATATTCATGGGAGTGTTCCTCAGACTCACTCTGTAACAGATAAAAATTTGATTAAATTCTACTATCAATATGGACACTTTTAACTAGTCAATGCCAGTTTATTTCATCTTCACTGAGGTACTATTTAATCGATTAATCACAATAGCTCCGAGATGGATTAGACAAACACAATCCCACTCCAGTTTGTGCAACTCTTTATCATTCTCTGCCTCTGTGCCTAAAGATCAGCACTGACAGGCACAATGGCCAGTGTGGTTTGAGAATAATGTGTCTTTTCCAGTTAGCATGCTGGGAGGCAAGGGCAGAACAGGCTTTGTGGGTGGCGGAGCCTTTCTACACCTGTTCAGACTGAGCTAAGTCGGACTAGAGGTGGACAGGCCGAGTCATCGTTGACCAGCTGTACTGAAGAGGTGGCAGAGAGACAGATTAACCGTCTCCTCTCTCCAGGAGTGCCCTTCCCTCCACTTCACGGTCAATCAAGTACCGCTGGCTCCTAAACGCTCCTTGCTGCGTCCATTAGCGCAAACACAGCCAGAGCTGGCCCGCTGCCTGGCCTTCTGCCACATACACATACACAGAGTGTAAGAATGAGGATGATCTACACAGCCTAATGGAAGCTTAGGCTACAGCTTAGGCTTCAAGGTTTAAAGGTTTCAAAACCTTCCGTTTCATCTGGACAGGTGCCTGGTTAAAATTCATTTTGCCTTGAGAGAGACTGTATATGTATAACCACTGTTTACAGGGTTCTCACATCTTTTAAAAGACAAAATAACAAATATCTACCTTGAACTCTCAAAGACTCACTTTAAAACTTCCATGGCCATTTTTCACGACAGTAAAAAAAAGTTTCTGGCAGGAATTTGCAATTACAAATTCACACACCATTTTTGTGATTTTGGGTGATGACGATACAACTTATGATCTCAATGTTTTTTAATGATAAGAAAATATCACAAAAATTATTTTAAGATTTCAGCCAGGCCTAGTTTAGAGTTATAGAGTGCTACTGAAAAAAACTTTATTTTACTTCTTTTTCCTACATCTCTCCTGACTCTTTGGCTGTAAAAATATGGAGCTTATTTTGTATATCAGTTGTTTCATTACATCATTTCAATAAAACTCTTTTCTCAGAGAACAAAACACTGTTCAAATACCTTGAAATTTCGCATGTCTGTATGTTCTCGTTTCTCAAAAGGTATACTACATTTCTAATTTGTCTAATTAAAATAAACCAAAATAATTAGTTTTACAGCAAATCTCTGCAGTCTTTACAAACAAAAAATTGTAAATATTGCAGCAAATTTTGAGAAAAGACGCTGCAAAATCTTAGCCCACAAGTATAAGTCTGTAAGATCCTGATGGGACCAAGTATGGCAAAATGCCATATTTTTGTGCTAAACTGCTTTTAGTTTAAACTGCTAAAACTCTGAGGAGAAGTAACAGCAAAATGGTGAGAGAAAGTGTTTCGGTAACTAACAATTTGGCAAATGTTACTATGCAAATATAAGAGACAAGAAAATAAAGTAATAAAATTTGCAAAAACCATCAACTGTTTTATTATATTCTGCGATATCACCATGCCTGGAAACTAGGAATTTCACAATATGCATGTTCACACTGATTTTCAATATGGGCGTCGCAAGACGATAACAGGAATGGTTTCTACAGTTCTATTTTACATAATCCATGGCAGCCCAAAAAGTGATAACCATGAAAGTAAAAAGACTCCACTGTGCAGCTCTAGTCTGGCTAACTCACCTTGGCTGGTTGATTAGCCAAGAAGTTTGAAATAGCATTGTTTCTCAGTCGAGCACAGTAATGACGGGCAAAGAGTGGCAGATCAAGTAGTAACAGAAAGCCAACTTGGCCGTTAACAGGAGAATCAGATACCTGTGCTAATACCTCAAATATACTAACTCATTTATAAAAAACCATCATCCAAATGTGTCAGTCACCAGAGCAAGGAGAAAACACAAAGCTAAAGTTAGCCAGCTTCTTATTCAGTTTTTACGTTCCACCTTAAATGGAGCAGCAGTTACACATTACTGTTGTTCCATTTAAAGTGGAACTGAAAATTTCAATATGAAGTTGGCAAACAGGACGCCAACTTTAGCCTTGTGGAGAGAACACAAGTCTCAGCAGCTAATTCTGCTCACAGGATTCAAGCAACTGCCAAGTGCTGTTTTTGAATGGACAAAAAACTCCATAGCGATGTTAACAGCTGCTGATTTGCACCTTTACACAGCTGTAGAGTCCACTTCTACTAAGCTGTGGATTCTGCAGATTGCTGGGAGTGATTAAGCCACGTAAACCTCACTCATTTCAGGTAAGAGCTACACTTTACGTACAAACACTACATCTGAATGTAAATGAACTCTTAAGTTTACATTTTTGTTTAGTGTTGAATAGATATTGCACTTCTGTTTCTATTCTTTTTTTTATCTATTGTATGTCTTCTAAGAACAGTGCCATATATCTCTTCAACAAGCACTGTTGTCCTGTGTACTGTGTATGTGTATGTGGGAGACACATTAAAACAGACAATGGTGGAAAATTAAAAAAACCTTTGGAAATTACATTCCTTACATTCCTCTAGCATTTCTTTTCTAATTCTGAACGTATCATATTGTGATACAAAAATGACAATATGTAGTGTATCATGAAATGTATGTATTGTTGCACCCCTACTGAGAACTGATATTTTAAAATTTACTGAAGGTTCCAGGTTTTTCAGAATGATGGTAAGCCTGCAACCTGTGATTTTCACATGCCATACAGCCACACTCCAGTCTAAGGTGGAGAATAAGGCCATTTGCACCCTGCTTTCTCAAAATATTTATAATCCCCAATATAGAGAGAGCAAACCTACACACATTTTAACCTTAGGCATGTACGATTTTCACTTTCTACATATCTGAGGCTCGAATAACAGTTTTACATTCCTGTAGCATGGCATATGAAAGTATGAACATAAAGGCTTCTTTAGCTGGACTTTAACTTAAGTACACTTACGTTCCAGTCTATGGTAGAGAAAAAGGCATGCCGTTTGATCTCCTCTACTCCATCTGGACCCGCTCCTGGAGAAAAAGTAATGGAAAAAAGAAAAAAAAAATAATAATGAAAGTGCTCTATTCAACCTTTCTCTGGCTACACTGGCCTTTGATTATGCTGAAACGAAGGTGCCACTTACCTAAACGATTTGCTGGGTTTCTTTTGAAAAGCATTCGTAAAAGACTCTGTGCCTCCAAACTTAAAAACTGCGGCATTCCCAGCTTAGCTCTGATTTAAGTTACACAAAAAAATAAATAAATAAATAAATAAATAAATAAATAAATAAACACACTCAATAATAATGAAAAATCATTTGGGCAGTTATATAATGTCAGTTAATAATAATTAAGTGATTTCTCTTAAGAAAATCATTATAAAATGATAACCAGTTACTTATAGCATTTGTCATAAGGTGAAGCCACCACTCACTTGAGAATCATGTTCATAGTCTCATTCCGGTCTTTTCCTTGAAATGGTAACGTCCCTGTCAGCATTTCAAACTTGCAGAAAGAGAGAAACTAGAAAGTCAGTCTGAATCACAATGTGATTTGTTAGCAGTCACAATTATGTTGTGTACATAATTACTGTATACACAAAATGTACAATACATTAGGGATGCCATCAGAGAGGAAAAAAATATTTCTTTAACAGGGTCTGACAGTAGGTCTTAACAGCTACTATCTGAAACACTAAGCTTGGATAATGCACATTTAGACTTAATTTAGATTACTGTCTGCAGAACCACCACATTATCATAATTCAAATTCAGCACCAAAATCTCACTCTATAGCTTGCACTTTCCTTGATCGTAAATTCTAATGAGCACATAATCACCATCTGGGCTAGCCTCTAATATTACTTCACAATTCATAATTCTGACTATATTCATAATTTTAACTACATTTAACATTCGGCGGTTCTCCGTGTTTAGTACGGTTGGAAACGGAAATACTGCCAAAATAGAACATTAGACAAGCTTGTCCATTTTTTATTCTCTATAGGAGAGTAGATCTCATGTTTTGTTTCTTTGATTCATTTATATGTGCCCCAGCATTCTTTGCCAGACTGAAAGTCTGTTATAATCTTCCCAAGTGGCATTTAAAGAGTCTATGTGTGTAGTTGGTAATGTTCTGTTAGTGTAGCCTGTAATTAAGTACAGTCTTTTATATTGTATACATTTTTGAACTATCCATAGAATAGAATGATAGTCCAAAGGGAATGTTAAAATAAAGCAAAAATAATAAAAATAGATAAATCACATGGCATGTGAAAAAAAGAAAAAAAGGTATAATATCTTGCAGAATATTGCAACTTTGCTAATATTTAAAGAGGGGAAAAAACCCATATTTTGGGTTTTATAAGGATGCAGAAGAAAAGTTAATTGAAGATGACCACCCTGTCTGCAGAACATGCCGAAAGAAAATAGCGGCGAAAGGGGGCAACACATCAAACCTTACGAGTCACCTTCGCGACCACCACACGCTACTTTTTAGAGAACGCAAGGTTAACTGTAACGTAGAAGTCTGTGGGGACTTCGAAATAGAAGAAATGTCATGGTTTGTGTGGTTTAACTTATGCTTATGGTTCGTTAATAATATAAAACGAAGCTTTTAGCGTCAAAAAAAAACAAAAAAACAAAAAAAACAATCGGTGAATCAACTGTGAATCGAAACTAAAGCTTTTAACAAATATAACGGTTGAGCAGTGTCTCCAAAATGAGCTCTGAGTTAACAGTCACACAAGCTCCGGAACGAGACGCTGCAAAAGTTCAATCTGCACAGCTCCCCTTTCTCGTCTCGCTCGCAGTGTTTACTTTCTGAGAAGAGAATAACACTGTCTCAAATCACTCAATGTCCCTTACATAGTGCGCTACTTTTCAAACAAACACAATCATTAACAAGCAGTTGAGTTTTAAATAGGGAATTTGTAACTTATTGTGAATGTTGATTATAGATGACTTAGTCAAACATTTCACACACTCTTTGGGTGAAGGATTTGCTATTTCATGATCCACGAAGTGCACTACATAGGGAAGATAGTGTGCTTTGAGACAGGACCTTGCGTGAGTAAACGCTGTGTGCTGCTTTTAGGAAAAGCAGAGTTTCAGAGATTAAAATTTAGGAGTGTTTCTGCCGCAGCTCAGATGCATGTTAATTTTAAGTTATGTTTTAGTTTTAAAATGCTTTTAGAGAAGCAGCTCCACAGGTGAAGACACACTGTGTGAGTTCTACACTGTCTGCAGCTCACAGCACGGTCACACAATTCCTCTGCGATTTTGGCTGTTTTTCCTGGTGCACTGTGTTGATTAGGGGTTCAGCGCCACAACGGCACAATAATTTCTGCGGACAGAAATCCCCCGAGTGCAACACTTCTTAGAAGTAGTAATTTTCCATTAAGACCCACCTCAGAGTTGGTCGAGATTTAATTCTCTATGCAGGGAAATCCCTTGTTATTGTAATTAATAATAATAATAATAATAATAATAATAATTACAACAGTAATAATAATAATAATAGTAATAACAATAATAATAATAGTAATAACAGTAATAGTAATAATAATAATAATAATAATAACAGTAATAATAATACATTTGCTATTCTTTTGTTTACAGAGTATTACAAGTATTGTAAGCAATACTTAAATAATACAACAAATGTACTGACTATATTTTTTAATGTTTATGCAAACAAAAAGTGCATATTGCTGCCAATTCTATTTGTGTTAATATAAAAGTTGGTGAAACGAGTTTCAGTTTGTATATCAGTATTTATTTTGTTATTTATTTTACTTTTCAACACATTTGAACAATATCGCGATAATACCGATAATCGTGATAATTTTGGTCATGATAATCGTGCTATGAAATTGTAATATCGTTTCATCTCTAGTAATAAGAGAGAAACTCTTACCATCAGAACGCCAAGAGACCACCAGTCAGCACTCTGTGTGTGTCCTCTTCTGTTGACCACCTCAGGGGCCATATATTCCACAGTGCCACAAAAAGAGTAAGCTTTTCTATCCTGGTCTACTGATTCTTTACTGAGCCCAAAGTCTGCAACAGAAGCATCAACAAATTAATACAAAGAACATATCACAGCAGTGTGCACATCCAACCAACATCACAGACACTATCTAAACCGAAGTTATAGACATTTGCAAGAACATGGTAATAGGGAGAGTAGCATTTACCTGTTAACTTGATATGTCCAGCTTCATCAAGTAAAATGCTGAAAATTAAAATCAGATTCTCCAATACAGGTACACAAATACATGGGTACAATAAAAACATAAACAAACAAATCAGACAAAATTCAGCAACTGACTGACTGTGACCTGTTATGCTCACAGTCTAAAATCTACTGATTTAAATGACGTGAGAGTGAGAAAAGGGTGAAACTCAAAGAGAGAGAGTGAAAAAGAGAGAGTGAAAAAGAGAGAGAGAGAGAGAGAGAGAGAGAGAGAGAGAGAGAGAGAGAGAGAGAGAGAGTGTTTGTGTGTGAGTGTGAGAGTTTGTAAGACAGAGAGAGAGAGAGAGCGCGAGAGAGAGAGAGAGGGAGAGAGGGAGAGAGAGGGGGAGAGAGAGCGAGAGAGCGAGAGAGCGAGAGAGAGAGAGAGAGAGAGAGAGAGAGAGAGAGAGAGAGAGAGAGAGGGGAAAGGGATACTTTACTTTTCAGGCTTCAGGTCTCTGTAAACAATGCCTAGGTTGTGAAGGTGATCCAATGCAAGGGCCAGCTCTGCAAGGTAGAATTTCACATCCTCCTCTGTAAACATAACCTAGTAAGAACTGAACAGATTTACTCTCTGATCTTTGCACAAAATGAGGAAAAACAAAAAGTCAACAACAGCATCTATGGTCACATAAAACAAGAGAAAAGTTATTGTTATACAGATCACACAGTAAAGCACAACAACAACAACAACAACAACAAAACTCCAAACAGAGATATTAAACTTACATACACATAACAATATCATAAAGAAAATGTGTCTGTTTTAAGTGAAAATGTAAATGGCTGGCTACAGTTTAGCTACAACAGTGATCACATACATCATGTGCCCCAGTACGTGAAATTGCAGGGCACCACAGAGAATGACTGTTGAAGGTATTCTGACAAAGTTAAACAAGAAAACAGCTCATTTAACTAATTTTTTGCTTGAAATAAGCAAACAAAACATTAGCAAGAATATTCTGCTAATTTTGATAATTACAGAATATCAAACTCCATTCCTGAAAGTCATATACTCAAGTTTTTATTTCAATCAAGTTAGTTTGTTAGTTTGGTAGTACACTGTTAAAATGTACTACCACAAACTGGTTCTTAAAAAGATGTCCATATATCATCAAAAACTATACAAAAACACAAAATACAGATTCATCACCACTTGTGATGCTAATGTGGCCAAAACATTGTGAATGTTATGTGGGGAGAGGGTAATTAATCAGGCTACGAAGCCATTCAATTACGTTGCCATTTGGAGGCAAAACACTACTTGACAATGGCAAAACATGGCCTAATCATGCTTTGTGCATCACCACTGCAGAATGTGGTAGAGAGTAGAGAATAGAGAATAGCTAAAATGGTCAATGAGAAGTCCAGGAACAAGACTGCAACACATGGTCCTAGTGCCATCTTGTGCCATCAACTAATGGGCGCTATCCATGGTGCTGAGTTGATAAAGAACCCTGAAGTGTTTCTCAAAATATCCTTACACCTAGTGCCTCATTGACAAACCATTTGTTTTGGATCTGACCTTTAAAATGACCGTACGTGAAAAGTGACATTTATGTAATGATTTACAAATTGTGAAATAATGCATAAGGCTGGGTATCCTCACATTTTTTTCGTCATCAATAACAATACCTAGGAATGCATCATGCATCGACACCGTTACCGGTATCAGGTCGATATAGCACTCATTCACTCATAAAAAATTCACTGATACAAACATTCTAATACCCGCGGATACTGTGTGAAGTAAGTGTGTACAGGGCCACGCTAATCAACAAATGACTCAAGCTGGCAGTGAAGGAGGCTCTGCCCACACAGAGAAGTGTTACTGACTCTGTGAAGCCTGGACACAAAGTTGCTGGTCACTTTAAACATTCCACTTTGGCAGATTTTCACCAGGAATACACTGTGATTTTAGACCGTTTTAAACACACGAACACAGCTGCTTCCCCAATACAGGTGAAGACACAAAGGCTCCAAAACGAAGGCAATTCATATCCTGACTTTACTTTGACTGCATTTAATTACAAGGTATGAACATCCAGAAAGTGAGATAGGATTATCATTTTTGGGAGATTTGTATTGTTTGTGTGATGTTTGTGTGCGGACATGACCGTGTGGTTGGTAAGGCATTGAGAACCTGCTGGTGTGATTGTTTTTACTCTGATTTTACATTAAGCTTATATCATTTAATAACCTATATAGAGGATCTTAATAATTGTTATACAACAGTTAGTTCCGGCCAAGCAAGCTGATTGGTTGAGAAGCGTTCTAACTGTGCTGTTATTTCGCCATAACATCACAGGTTTTTCACAAACACTGTATCACTCCGCTGAGACACCGTTGCTAAGCTACGACTTTAACAGCTGTAGGAGAAGCTCAAGCAATTTGAACGTTTTTATTTCTTACTTTGCCACAAACAGAAAATGGATACTTTTAAGATCACATTTGACCTACAGCCAATTTCGTCAGACTCTGAAGATGAGACTACACTAAATTCCCAAACTGTCAGTTGGTCTGTGTAAGGAGCTAGAGAACAAACTACCGGCTGTGCAACGAGTGAGCAGAGAGAGTGACATAGAAAAAAAGCTGCTTATTAAGAAACTATAATTTGGCGGAAGGAACTGCTAACATTAAAACATATTAAATGCCACATTCACGGCCCAGTTTATTTATTTCTTACTTTATTTATTTAACTGTTGTATAAAAGCAATTGAACACTGAAGGTCGTGTTATCGCGAATAACATCACGGCTGTGACGATCTACGGCGATAACACACTCCCTCTCATGTTCCATTGCTTAAATATAGCAGTTATTAACAATGATTGTTAATTCTGAGTAAGAACTGTAGGCAAGTTACAGCATTTCTTAATCCGTGTAGTTATTCACAATAGATTAGCACCTTCTTACACAAAGCTGAAGTCAGCATTGTTTTTTTCCACCAATTTTCACGTTCCACCTTAAATGGTGCAGCCTCAGACAGCAGAACGTAACTGCTGCACCATTTAAAGTGGAACGGGGAAATTTGAACAAGAAGCTGGCGAATAGGCCAACTTATATTAAGCCAACTTCAGCCTGATCCTTACTGTGTTTTGGGTGGTTTATTTCATATTTATTTGCATTAAAACTAGACATGATTCACACCTTTATGGATTTGCTGACGTGGTGTGTGATTTGTGTTTCTACCAGAGTTTGCGCTAAATTCATTTTTTAACGTCAGGTGCAGACTGCTCCAGACAGACAGACCGATTTAGACAGCCTATCAGCAGTCTATATTTTGAAAAAAGCATGCCTATTACCTAAGACTGATTACTTAGGACCGTAAGTATTATGGTTGACTGATTACTTAAGACCGTTTTCTTGAAACTGGACAGTGCCTAGAAGGAACAAACTTGGGGTGACATCTGCTGCCTGGTAATGTAAACGTACGGTTAGTGTTTGACCTGTGAGCATTGTGAACAAACACGCTTACAAGAATATATGAAGAATACTGAACACTTCATTTCTATATTGAATTAAGAACAAGTTAATAAGCTATAAACAGACTTTGATGTAATAAGATCAGACAGATATTTATAGGCCACTGTATTGATTGCGAGGAAAAAAGTACTAACAAGGAAGTGGCTTTTTACTGAACTCCCTGTTAGACTAAAGATGGCAAAAATTTGTAAAATCATGGTTAAAATGGATCAACTACATGAAGTTTATAAGGCCAGAGTTTGTTGAAATACAATGTGAGTGTGTCTTTACACAAATGCTGAGTACTTTAAGAGCAAATGTAGTGTGAAATTCAAGCACATTTTATAAATGAGGACTGAACAGTAACAGTTCATCATCTTCATTAATAACTCTAGTGCCACAGGTGATGGGGCATCTGTGCACAATATAAAACAATATTTGTATTCTAAGCATTACGTTCACTTGGTAGACTGCTTATTTCTTCAGAAAGGGTAAAGTGTTAAAGAACTTTGTAGTGAAGTACTAGCCAGAAGGAGATGCCTATTCAAATTGAACATGTTGCTGCATAGCTTAATTTGTTAATTGCACCTGAAACAACAACAAAGTTAAATCCTGTAAGACAAGCAACTACAGACTGAAAGCAGCTGGAATTTGTCATTTTAAAGCCTTCTACCCACAATCAATAGTAGTCTGAATAATAGGCCTTATAACAGGAAATGATTAAATTTTTTCCATACATGCATTGCCACAGTGATCGAGTATATGCATGAGCCTTTGAGGAAAGGAGCTTGACAGCCTAAATCACCAGCAGGAACCAGGGAGCACGACTGGTAAAGAACACCATTAAATGGTTAGAGCAGAAGAAAAGAGGAAGCTTACCTCTTTGGATAAGCGAGTAAATACATCTCCACCCCTGAGAAAATCCAAAATTAAATAGAGCTTCCCTTCTGTCTGAAAGGCTGTGAGTAAAAGGCAGAAACACTGTATAAGACACATGTACACGCAAACACACAAAACCTATTCATATTCCATCAGTCACTTTTGCCATATGGTGAACTCAACCAAAGCACTAAATTATACACAACTGAAGCCACGTACAGGATGTGACTTGGCAAGCAAACATGCTGCTTCCAGCAAACAAAGTGGCGACCTTAAACAAATGACAGGGACGGATTGAATGGAATGAGCGGAGCAGAGCAGAATATGAAACAATCCCAGCTTGAGACATGAGAGTCTGCTTTATGTTTCACTGTGCTGACTGGCAGGATGGAGCTAGCAGCTGAACTGGGAGAGAAAAATAGAGAGAAAGACAGATAGGCAGAGACATGCAGGTCATGTCGATCTTACCATAGTGCAACTTTACAATGAAGGGATGATTCACTTCCACCAGAATATCACGTTCCATCTTTGTGCGAACCCTGTCCCTCACTGTCAATAGGAGACAAAATGAGGCTCATCAAGCCTGAGTTTGTTCTAAAGGGCATCTAGCAAACATTAATCATGGAAAAGTCTCATCAAAGCGCCGTTCTTGGGGCACAGGTGATGACTCACCTTTTAAAGATGCCTTTTTAAGGACCTTCATTGCATATAGCTGACCAGCATCAGGGCCCATTATCTTCCGCACCAGGAACACCTGAGGCCGAGAAATTGGCCTGGTTAACTGAGAGGCCTCAGAAAGCAGCAACTGTGTAGCATGAAGACTTGACAAGCTATTTGTGTCCTAATTTAAGAAACCTTTTTCAGTTCATATATTGATAATCTCCTCCCATTATCCAAATCTGACATAAATTTAAAGTCAACGTGAATTCAGAAATCATAATACATTTTCCCTTTGTACAGTGACATATTTCCAAATGAGACACAGTATTAGGGAGAGTCTCTGAGCTAGCTGAGCATCTTTATTCAATGTAGGGAATTTGGAAGGGGGAGGTTAAATATTATATTATTGGTTAATAGTATTTTTCCCCAGATGCTATAGGAGAGTTTACTGAGAGAAATCTCTTTAGGGTTGTGCTAAATACGGAATTATACAAAACTTTATGTAACTATCAAAATGGCAGCATTGATATGCAACACACAAAAGCATGCAAAAGCACAAAGGTCATAAAGTAGGCCTGAAAAGGTTAACCTAGCCTATAACAATGTCAACATACACTCACCGAAAACTTTATTACAAACACCTCTTTGTATGTGGACCAGACACAGCAGTGCCGCAGGAGTTTTCAAACACCTCAGTGTCACTGCTGGACTGAGAACAGTCCACCAACCAAAATCAACACAAACTGTGCAGCAACAGATGAGCTATCATCTCTGACTTTAGATCTACAAAGTGGACCAACTAGGTAGGAGTGTCTAATAGAGTGGATGGTTAGAAACTGCAGCAGCGCTACTGTGTCTGATCCACTCGCACCAGCGCAACACACACTGACACACCACCACGTCAGTGTCACGGCAGTGCTGAGAATGATCCACCACCCAAATAATACCTGCTCTGTGGTGGTCCTGATCAGTGAAGAACAGGGTGAAATGAGGCTAACAAAGTATACAGAGAAACAGATGGACTGCAGTCTGTAATCGTGGAACTACAAAGAGCTCCTAGATGGTAAGTGGAGCTGATAAACTGGACAATGAGTGTAGATACAACAGGGTGTTTCTAATAATGCGTTCGGTGACTGTACATGAAAACTGGATTTTTCAATAGGTACAGAGTGACAAATGTTTCTGATGCTGACATCAGGAGACTCTGAGGTGCCTGATTTTTCCTTGGCTGTGACCAAAATTGATCCCTGTTGTTTTAGGGCACTTTTACATATGTCACTCATTTTTCTCTTAGTGTTTGAATCATAAAACAGAACTTTAGAGTGATTTTGAGGAAAAAGAAGCCAACTTCTACCTCACCCAAGTAATGCTGGCTTGATAATGCGATTGATGAATACTGACGCAGGTTGATGATCTCACTGAATTTACTGATTCATGCATTTCCTCTTCTATTTAGTTAACAAAATAGTTCATACTCATATAGCACAATACTAATGTGGGAGCAGGTATTCATTTTGGGCACAGCCTTGGTTTGTTGCTCCACGAAAACTTCATAAAACCTCTGTTTATTGTATTGTGCCTCAGCTCAATACGAACATTGCATTGAAACTTGTGCAATACCCCTTCAAATCTAATATGCGCATGTGCATAGGATACACTACTGCTCACCTTTCCGAACGAGCCTTGGCCCAGGACCTTCAGTAGCTCGAACTGGGAAGGGTCGGCCTTCTCACAGCCCTCCTTCACATGATGAGTTATGGGGATCTCCTTATAGGACCCTTCATCCTGTAGGGACAAAACACATTCAGAACAATAGTTTATGCACAAACACTTCTAATAAAGAATTTAAGCTGGCACTGGCCATCCAGTATTATGAGATCACACTGGGTGTCCACATTCATTCAACGGCAAATTGTTTCTCTCAAGAGGCATTAGGCGCTAAACATGCATTTCACACTCTGGCCACAAACGCATATTTCACACCACACCAAGTGGTTGAACGTCTGATGGCTCATGGAAAACAGTCATCTCTGCACCTCGAAATGTGTCATTCTTCATTTGAAAATGACAGTCCGTCCTCCATGCCTTTATTTCGGAGGCTCAGGACTTGGGCTGTGCGATGCACAAGCCTGAATATAGATGTTAGGCAAACTAACCCCCCGGAGGAAAGAGTGTGAATCAGTATTCCCTGCTGGCTGAATCTATTATAACAGCCAACTTAATGGCATGCCTCGCAGAGAAGTGTGCCACAGTAATTAATTGGCTCCTCCGAGTCAGAGAGTTTGTGGGCGAGGAAGAGAGGCACGATGGGCCTCTCGGCGGACTCGACACAACCTGAGAGACTGAGATAAGTCCAGGCCGCCGGGGCGTAAGCGTGGACGAAAGTGCCTTTCACATCAGAGTGGCGAGGGAAGAAAAACAAAAATCCTGCCTGCATTATTAATAGGAGAGGGATTGTGTTGGTGAGGCCGGCCGCCGCTGAGAACAGGGCAGAATCAGAGCTGAAGAGAGGCCTTTGCTTCCGCGAGCCACTAATCAGCTTAACTGGATGGAGATCTGACCTACTGCTATTCCACACAGTATTATACAGACAAAACAACTTCTCTGCAGGGAGCTGGAGACAGAATATTGTTTCTCTAAGATGTACCATAAAGTTAGCTGCTTCAGAATCTTTTAGAAGGTTCACAGTCCAGGCAGAAAACAACAGTCAACTTACATTAAATTAAATCTGTTGTATCATTATTGCAAGCCTTATTTACAGGGGATGCAGCAACCTACTAAGGGATTAGTACTAACACCCAAACATGGAAGTGATGTCACTGAAAAACCGCCCACACTAGTACACAATACAGCCGTGATAACATCAAGTGAAAGACACCCCGCATCCCATCCGTCCACATACACACACGCACAGTTTTACTCACACAGTGCGTGAAGGACTCTCCCTCTTCCATTGGCTCATCCGTGATCTGATGCCCATTGACCTAGAAAAAGCCAAATCACAACTTCAGCCAACAAAACAACTGTTACATCAGAACGTTGACACAGTATTTCACACAACTACACTGCGCCACCGTGACCACATAACTGACACTTCCTGTCAAAGGAAGAGGAACACACTCTTGAAACCACAGCCCTACACATATGTGAAGTGTTACTTTAGCATATACATGTATGACTATTACGATACATAATAAAAATCATTTTACTTATTTAAAAAATCAGATTACTAATAATACAATGACTATTAACTTCAAAACGGCATTAAATTTTGTTGGGGTTTCAAGACAATACCCACTGTGAGTCAAATACACATTACACGAAATGAAGAGTCCCTGACATTTCTAGATAGAGGTTTTAAAGACTAACCTAAAGGAGACAGCCACAACAGTAATGAAAAAAAAACCTCCCCTGCGCTGCACCCAAAGCTATTCACTTTTTGTATGCATTTATATTTTCTTTTGCTTGTGTTATTAACGTTTTTACCAGGTGCTGGTAATTTTGGACTCTTGTGTGTCATTACAACACTAATATTTCAGAGCAGGACAGTCCAATCTTATCCACAAAGGGCCGGTGTGGCTGCAGATTTTCTTACAATCAAGCAGAAGCACACCAATAAAAAGTTAAAGTCTCCACTTTTTTAATCAGCTGGTCTCAGTCCAACAACTGATCAGGTGCGCTCCTGCTTGTTTGGAATGAAAACCTGCAGCTACACTAGCCCACTGTGGATAAAACTGGACACCCCTGTTTTAGCGCCTAATCATCAGTATTATGGAATTTTTCATTGCATAGGTCAGTGCAAGAGAAAAACAAAGAGAGGAGTATGCACAAGGCACACGAGCTAGGCACTGCTCCTGAGCAACAGAGCTGCTCCAAGTCCCCAGCTTTGCGAGTGTGTCATGCTGAATCGGTGTGTAGGAGTGGAGTTGCAAGCGGCAGCTCTCTGCTCCTCCACAGCCTCCGTGTGGGAGAAAGTGAGGAGGGCACACACCCCCGCTTCCCCCCACCGTAGTGATGTGCTCGTTTGGAAGGAGGAGCTGACGTCAGTGTCCATCAAGGTTAGAAGGGGGCGATGGGCAGCTTATGGTGTCCCACGCTTCCGCCGCCTCCAAAGCCTGCTCTCTGCTGTGAGTGTGCACCATGACCAAAAACAGCACATCATGAACCGCCTCCACCATCAACAGCTCCATGCCAAAAATAAATAAATTAATAAGTACATAAAAAAACAAAAATAAGGAGAAGCACATTTGAATGCCTTCAACAAGTCCAAAACAAACATGCTGCTCTCACAATAGAAAAGGTGAAAATAAATAAAAGGATAGGTAGGATATTCTTCTCCTTGCTTGTGAGGCTTTAAAGCTTGGTGGAGAGCTAATAAAACCATGTAGGCTAAGCTTCCTACACTAGTCACTTCTGATCACGTCTTCCCACTGTTTATGTTTATCTGTGCACCAGGTGCAAAACAGCGATTAGTGAATTTGACAGGGACATTTGTCTTCGCAAAGCACACAGGCTAGTTCAGGCTTTCAGGAAAACATGAACCTAGAAGGTCAATCTTGTAAACTTATCAAATGCTACGTGGTGTAGTAGGTGTTTCCAACAATACTGCTGAGCAATACTGGGCTTATGACAGCGTTCAAATTATGACTGCAAATACTGGTCTTAAGGTCAAAGTTATACAGCTACATGACAGTCTTGTTCTGATGAAGAAAATACTGTGTATCCTTCTGCATCCCTGTTTCATGCCATTAACAACCCAGCACTGCAAGTCAATCTAATGCAGTCTGCCCAATCCCTCAAGAGGATGACTCATACCATTTATCATGATCACTGAATGGAAATGCTGCATGTTTTTCAAGATGGTCTGTGGAAAACCTCAAAAAATCTCCCTTAGACCTCAACATAGCCTGTCACAATTACACAGGCCTTTTGACACTTTGCTGCTTGTTTCACAGGTATACTGTCATGTAGTCTGGGATTGTATTCATAAGGTATCTCCAAGCAAGAATGCTGCTTTGCCTCATCTGCTGTTTACAGTGATTTTACCTCCACACTCTACACTCTCTGACAAGCCTCAAGAAAAACAATTTCCATTTCCAGTAGTAAGATAGCACAGGCCTAGGGAGGCTTGTATACATCTTATATCAACGTCACCAGCAGCACCTGTCAATATCAAGAAGCACTGACACATCTGCCTACCTAGTATTGGCCGCTGAAGTTCTGATGATGAGCAGATGTAACTGACAACCTGTTGTGATGGTGGTTGTCAACGTAAAGTTCAGCTAACGTTAGTCCCACATCAGGTTTGCTGCCCAAAATCGACGACTAGGGATACACGGCCAGAATTATATCGGTATCGGCAGATAGCTAACGGCTTTGAACAGATGTTTAGATATCAAGACGTTTTACTGTATTTCAAACGAGCAGAACGTTCAGGCGACACTAGGCTACTACGCTAAAACGTCTAAATTTCATTCACATTACTGCACTCATAAGCCTCCAGAACTAAATATTATATCTCTATAGTGTTAGGTAGACGTAGTCCCAATTTCGACATTTTATAAAATGTTTCTAAATTGGCATTAGGAAAATATGTACATGAACAATATCGGATATCGGCATCAGCCCACAGTTCCTGTGACGGTGAATTCCTACAAACACGACTGTGGACACATAACGCTATCTGCCTGCACAATAACAACCTCATAACTGTTTATCGGACCGCTTATGACAAAGAAAGCAAAGAAACATGATGTTAGCCTGTCAAGAATGCAGTCTGGCTTTCCTCCAGCGTGAAGAGAACAAGCTCCTAGCGGGTTTGTGCGGCTGTGTGAGACACCAGCATCAGCAGCAAGCTAGCGTTCTTTGTACCGGACCACAGTGCTAAACATGAACACCGTCTAGTTTCTCGTGCTAATGACCCGTAAAGCGTACATGTGTACATGCTGATAGATACCACGGTGTTTACAGTGTCGGAACGACACGGTGGTGGTGAAGGGATAAACAGTGCTGCGCGAGGCGAATGACTTGACAGCAATGCTAGGCTAGGTGATTATATTTATCAGTCTGAGGAGACTTTCCAACCAACTGCTCTATAATTAAAACGCAGGAGCATATAAGAAAACAATGACTTAAGTTACTGGAGACGAACTCGCTCTACAGTGTGACTGTTTTAATATTTTCCTTTCGTCAAAATGGTACACCGAGCATGCATATGGAAAAGCCATATGGAAAAGCAGGACATCTAACGTTAGCTTGCCAATTCGCTACCTATCCTTCCAGTTGGCGAGGTATTAAACCTTCATCTCTGAGGCTTTGCAACGAAATGCAGCTGCAAAGAGCCGTAGTTTACATTTCTCGCACAAAGAGTAGCTAACCTAGCTAAAGAACTCAGCCAAAGTTTAGCTTTACCGCGTGTCCGCATTAATGTTGCCGGCAACTCGGGACCGTACTTCAGGAACGAGGTAAAAACTTTATGACAGACAGACAGAAGGGTAAGCCGCGACATAGGAACCCCCTCTTCGCTAGCGTTAGCTATTTTGCTAACTGCTAACCGCTTATGAACTAGCCTAGCTAACTAGCACATTTCTACGCTAGCCAGCCAAGAGCTCGACAGGCGGTCCACTGAGAGGACGAATGCGAGGCACCGTTTTCGTCGTTTTTCCACGTTTCTAAAACGCCCCATAAACTAAAGGCACAAAGCAGCACACTTTAACATACCTCACTACTAACGCTATGCACCTCCATTTTGTGCCAGGAATCCTGTGGCTGGGCAAAAGGCATCATCCCTACGGTTAATCTACAGCCTTGTGTAGCGAGGCATTCCTTCGTCTCAGAAGCTCTGCTGCCCCTCTTGGACGATCAGTCGTGGTTCGGGAGTAATAAGCCTGGCGCCTGTGTGCAGGGCAGCCGGAGGGTCGCTTGCGGAGGGTCTGCTCGGTTGGACCATACGCGAACCGGACGCCTCTTACTTTCCCATTGACACGAATATGGCCGCCTCCGTGCTACCCACAGCAACGGAGCTGTACGCTGACGTAGCTTTGACGCAATTCAGTTTAGGATTTCCCCCATCCAAAGGTACAAAGAGGGTAAAAAGAAATAATATTTAATATTATTATTAACAGTAATGACAAAATAACACAAAAATAAATAAATAGGAAGATAAAGAAGAAGGATATGAAGAATAATATAACAATACAATCATTTATTATAATTATACTTTCTAATTTTAAATAAATTAATTAATATAAAACGTATGAACAATTATAGTAATACATAAATAATTCAAGCACTATCACTATCGATATATTATTATTATTGTTGTTGAAAAGTAATATTTATTTATAAATGACAGTAGTGCCATTTTCAGCCATCAATTTTCCTCACAGTTCAGAGGTGATTTATTAAAATGCTTAAATATAAAAGCAGATATAAAAAGCATTAGAAACAAGAACGCAAAAGAAATAGAAAAAAGTAAAGTGTTTAAAGCTCTTGGTTGTTCTGTGAATTTCTTACCATTTCAGCCATCTAGACCCTGGACCTCCAAGGAGGAAAGTTGACCAAAACATTTAAAAATCCATCTAGTCCATCAGTTTACGTCCTCTTTCCTGGTGGGATTAAGGAGCTTAGGACTCATCCCCTCTATCCTGACCCACACAGAGAGGATAAATCCCACCCAGGGGGTCTTATATGTGTAAAGAACACAAAGGTCACACAAGCAAAATTTGGAGCCGTTTTTAGCCAATGCTGATATTCAGAAGCAGTATCATCACTGTTCAGGACTGAGATCACCATAAATAGTGGAGAAATATGATCTTAGATAAGCAGCACAGACTGTGAAGCTGGATATAGTTTGCAGCAAGATAAGTGGTTTTAAGCTAGCATTAGTTTAACCCACAGTAACAGCTTAACTTAGTGCTACTTTAAATCGAGCCCAAAGCTAGTTCACGAACCCACAAATACAGCTTTGCAGCCTATACCCTTCAGTATCCATTGTTCTGAGGAGCACCGTTAACACAGTATTTTCATATTTCCAATATTTCCAATATAACCCAATAATAAGTAGCTGCCAAAATGATTTATGTGATAAATGACATTATACTACTGATGCTGCAGATAAACATTATGTTGAAAAATGCTGGATTATTCCTTTATGTACATCCAAGCCTATTAAATAAGCAAGAGAGAACATAACATATATTAGCTTTTTTCCCCTCTACATAAAAGATTGCTTATAAAACACACTTGTTTCAATAGTAAAAGTAAAGAGATGCAGACCACACTCAAGTTAGTGCCATTTATTGATGTAGTACTGGATCCACCCGAGAAGACTGTCTGATATGCGGTAAAAAAGGCCGCGGCAGGTCCATTATTACTTGTAAGCTTCCACAGGCACGGTGTGGAGTGTGTGTGAGTGTGTGTCCCCCTCCCCCTCTGATACAGAGGAATCCTTCTGGCTGGAGGTCATCTCCACGCTGGACTCCGCGTCCCTTTCCGGACTCAGCCCCAAGTCTTCTTCCACTTGTTGAGGTAGGCTGGCTAACAGTTCCTGCCACAGACATCATAATAAGGACACATGCTAACAAAATAGCACAGACTGGTTGTCATCTCTAAATTCAAATACATTTTGGTGTAGATCCTCTGCATAATATTGTTTTTCTTACCTGCTGTTTCTCTAGGTCATTGATCTTCATCGCTTTCAGTAGGCTTTTGGTGAAGGTCCTCAGCTCATAGTACTTCTGTTTTTGGTTCTCTAGCTCGCTCTCAAGGTACTGGACTTCTTCATGCTATAAGAAATAAATGGAAGTTTCTCAATTTGATTTCCAGAACATCACCTCATCACCTTATATCCATACATTCCATATATTATGAGAACATATGTGGAATCTGCAGCCAGAATGAAAGAGTGAAAGGTACTTATATTGGCAATCATTCAAGATAAAGTACCCCCAGAAATAAATCATTTGTACAAATTACAATGCAAAAGAAAAAATGACTGGGGTATTACAGAAGATCTTTTCATACACATTTTTTTCAAGAATATCCATAAGTGGAAAATTCAAGGAAAAAAAGGACAAGTACATCTGACACAATCAACACTTACCATACGCTACACTCATTATTTATATTGTGCTATATTTATGACTATCAACTTAAAATTATTTTCAAAATAATACAACCTACATGCCAATAAACTGTCATATAAAAGTAATTCACCTACATTACTCTTGCACGCCTGGGTTGGAAGTGCATCAAGCAGTATAAAGAACGCCAGATATTAGAATGCAAAAGTAACAGAGAGTGCACGCGCAATCCACTTTGCCCAACAAATTGATGCTTGGAAATGATTTGCCCCTGTCACTATTTGTATGCAAAGCCAAGAAGCTGTGGGTGTCTGGGAGCAAAGCAGAGCAGAGTGAATTCCTGAGCTCGTCAGCCAAGCAGAAACATTTTCATTTAGGGAGAGGATTATAGATGAGTGGCAGTACACAGTTTCAGGCATGACCAACCATGCATCACTTTGGTGCAAGGGAAAAAAATAAAAAAAAAAGCACAGCAGGAAAAAAATGGGCCTGTAGTTAACAATCAGTTTTTGTGAAATTAGTTGAGAAACCAGTGTATGTTGATCAGAGAACAGGATATGTAAAGTATGCCTTGCTATCACGAAAATGTTCTTCACTGTCAGTATAGAAAATTTCATTTACTTGTCAATAATGAATTGACCAGATCTGCCCAGATATAATCAAAATGTAGATAATTTTCTATGTATAATTTTCATGAGACTGATTTATGAACTTAATAAACAAACATGTACATCTGCTGATGTAACTACAACAAGGATGAGCATAAAATAGTAAGGAGAAATCTTCACTTTTTTATATTGTGCTTGTGAGTAAAATGCTCAAAGGAATTTATTAAATCATCAAGTCATAATCACATCTGCATTTCTGTGGTAATGAGAACTGTTCCTATTTAGAGAAAAGTTTGGAGGAATTAAGATTAAGAGCTTTTTTTTAAGTGTATGATTATTGCCACTGTTTACATTCAGTTCTCAAGCTATTTTGAACTCATTGTGTAGCTTAATCTGTTTGCTGAAATGAATAATATATATAGGTATGAGACAAATGTAGGAATACTAAATAAAACCAAAAAGATACTGAAAACCAACTGAAAGATTAAATTTCAAAGATGAAACATTTCATGCTCAAACTTGTAAAGTACTCACCAATAAATGAACCTGTTGTGTAAGTTTGTCAATATAAACATGTTGTTTCAAAGTACAATTACTCCTAGTCATGCATATGTACTCTGTTTAAATTCAAGAGTGAGCAGTTCAACTAAACATTTAAGAGAAAATTTACAGCCTGGTTGGAAATTTTAAAAATCTGTCACCAAAAACTATTTGGAGCACAGTTTTTAAAATGTTGCATGGTTGCATGAAACTAATATATGAATACAAATATGAAAATAAATAAATAAATAAATAATAATAGCAACAATAAACATCTAAAAACTGCAAATATTATCTCATGTGGTTTTGCAAAGCACAAAGAGAAAAAGACAGAAACTAATTTAAAAAAAAAACTAATTTAAACTGAAAACTATGATATGAGCTACTGGTTCTTTACTTACTTTGTATTCTAAAAGACTATGCATTTGTTCCATATCTGTGGCCATCAACTCGCCATCATCGTCGTCGTCATCATCTTCTTCATCAATTATTTCAATCTTCTGTTTGGAACAAATTTGCGAACAGAATTCATACTCAGAATTAAATTCATGCATTAATATTGCAATTATTGTTCACAAGTAAGTATAAGTAAAGCTGCTCTCTAATAATCCATTTATACAGTCATATGCAAATGTCTGAATACCCTAGGTCAAATGACACTTTTTGCTTAAGACAAACTTAATTATGGCATTTATGTGAACTGTAATTCACAATTACAGTTTATTTATATTGGAAAAAAAATAGAATATAATGTAAACTATGCCATAATTTTTACACAGGCCACAATTTATGTTTTTATTTTTTTGTTTCGAATATGTTAAATTTAGCAAATTAAAAGTAATTATGCATTAAAATACACAAAAGAGTGCTCCCTCTAGAAGATGTGCACTTATTTTCGCATACAACTGTACACATATTTAAATACCTATATATACACAAACAAATAGGGGTGATAAAGAAAAAACCTGAATAAACGATTGGAGAAACATACGTCACATATTCAGTGACCATCATGCTTACATAGTGCGAAATGTACAGAATGTACAGAATAGCAACTGTTTTCAGGTGACTAAGAATGTCAGTGCAGGACATGATCAGACTGTGTCAGCAAGAACAGTCCATCCACAACTAGATAGAGAGATATTACAGTGGGACTGCAGAGATGAATTTGAGACTTCAGTTATTAAGACACTTTGTTGTTTTTTACTTTTGTCACCCATTTGAACATAATATGTACATATTAATACTGTAAAAATGGTTTGTCAGTTCAACTTAAAAAAAAAAAGAGCCGCTGTTTATTTGAGTTGAATAAAACTAGTTCAACTGCCTGTTACCAATATACATACATACATATATATATATATATATATATATATATATATATATATATATATATATATATATATATATATGAGAGAGAGAGAGAGAGATTGGTAACACACACAATATGATTCAGTGGAATATACTGTCCTACCACATTTTCAGCAAGGCCAGAATTAGTAGAGCCATCATGCCCGTCGTCATTCTCTTTCAGGTAAGAGTCACTCATTCCGTCTTTAAAGACAGAGGAAACATATCACTGTCATTTGAAAACATCATACAATTTTTTGCTTTATTTTGAAAATAGCCCATAATTACTACGTTAACACCTTGTTATGTTACACCTGTAATGATATATTAAAATTTACTAATATCTGCAATCAAAGTGAAAATAAGACTAGAAAACTAATTTAAAAATGCTAAAAAAAAAAAAGTAATGACTGAATTGGCTTGATCTTCATGATCTGAAAATAACTCAGTTACAGTGATAAGTCATAGTTACATACACTTGAATAAAAGATTCAATATACCTTCAGACATGCAGAGTGACACAACATCATTCTGTTCACTATCTTCTGCAGGCTTTAAAGTCCTGGGCTCATCCTCTTCAGGGGTCAGAGGTGAAGGGGGCTCTGCACTGGCTACTTTAGGAAAGGTTGCTGGGCCTCCTTTGGGAGGTGGAATTTCAATACCCATCAGTCGATACTTCCTCCTGCGGTTACCGATCCAAGTCTGCCAGAAAAAGATGAACATGAAGTATTGAATATCAAAGGGCTTAATTGCATCTATAACTGCTGATGCAGTTCAGCTTACTAAGTGATTGAATTGCTGGTATCTGCAGAGAAGAACCTCAGAGGACAGCGCTTCCGAGGACAATAAATGAACATGCACATATCTATCATTAACCACAATCACAATAACTGATAATTAACATATAGTTATGGCCGATAATAATGATTACATGAAAACATGTTCTTTCATTTAAAAACCTAATTTATACAATTTACCAATAATTAAACTTTCAAAACGTGCTCATTTATATAAAAAGAGCAGGGACCATAAGACTATGAGATTAAAACTCTAAACATGAATAATGAATTCATTTTAATTGCCATGACACAGCTAATAAGTGGGATTTTTTGTAAACATTTACATTATTTTATGTAAATATTTGACATTGGTTAGCAGATGCTCTTATTAGTTTCATTATTAGACATTTGACACTGATATCAACATTTCTGTCAGTTTTTCATATGTTGGACAGTGAAGTCTCAGTTTCCAGTCCTGGATTTTTGTATTTGCAAGTAGATAAGGCACAAGATGGCCGATCAGTTACATAAATAGTTCAGGGCTCAGTTTCCCAAAAGCATCTTAGTGTTAAGGTCATCTTAACTGGGAGAGCGAGTGTTCAATGTGATGCTTGCTCTACCATTTAAGAATAATCTTTGTGCTAAGATGCCTTTGGGGAAATCCAGCCTCGTTAATCAATAGCCAGGGATTACAAAATCCAGGACTGGAAACTGAATTCAAGGGTTCGATTTGAATATTTCTACACTATGCTATCCATTTGAGTATGGTGAAAATAATGGATAGCTCTTCAAATCTGAACCTTGAATCCAATTTTTGGTTCTGTTTTTGTATTCACTAGTAGTTATGGCACAAGGTTGGAAAAAAACGGAAATACCCTGTACTAGTGACCACACTTGCACACATGTGCAAGCAAAACATAGGGCAAGTTAAATTGTCAGTTGTAATTACTGGCTGTAATTCCAATATCAGTCCGATAAGAATAATTAAATGGTCATATTCATTGGTGAATAATACATCGCCTGCCAAAATACTGTGCAGCTCTAATAAAGACCTTTAAGATTCTCTCTGAGACTTTGTTAATGTGTGCTGGAGTAAACAACATAAAGCAGGTAAACTGCTGACCTTGATGATTTCACTGTCCACGTTGAGCTCAGTAGCTGCTGCTGAGATCTTCTCTCTGCACACAGATCCCAGACTGGTCATGCCATTGTCCCAGTACCTCTTCAGTGTGTATAGGTCCCCATCACTAAACTGCGTCCTGTCCTGAAGCTGCAGAAAAGGAAACATTTAGAGCAGAAACATTCATAACCTGAAAGTGATGGCAAGGCATGAAGGGTAGAAGCTGAAAGGAAGCCGAAACACTCACCGTTCTTTTACGGGAGTTGCTAAGAAGCCAGGGAGCCGACATGCTACTTACCTAACAAAAGAAACAAAACAGCTTAAGGGTACTCTGCAGTCAGATAATAATGCTTCAGTTAAAACATAACATTTCCTGTCAAAGCAATCAAATTCAATGTTTTTTACTGAAATTTCATTTTAAAGGAATATATATAATTTTCTCTTTATCTCAAGTTAACTTCTTCAGCTTTGCACTGGAGCTTTGAGTCTAATGTAGCTAACAAGTAACAGAAGTGCATACCAACTAATTAGCATCATGATAACTGCATGCTTAAGCTTTCACATACTTGCCCTAAAACTACGTCGAGTTGATATTTCAAACACTTTCTTTCCCTTACATTATTTACAGCTTTAGTTAACATTTACATATGTAGAATATGTAGAACATGTTAGTAGAATGTGTAGGATATGTTAGTTAGTTAGTTATGTAGAACAAACTAACTAACAAGCAAACAAACAGAAAAAGTATCTCTATTTTAGTCCATTTTTATTTTAATTTTTACATCTTTTGAACACAGCAGCTGTCCTTTAAAGTGTGTGACAATTTCAGGATGAATGGACTAATAGAAATGGCCCAAAACCACTTGGAATTAAACCTCTTTACATTAAAAGCAAAGAATGTTTTGGCCTTTTCCAAGTCCAAATATATAAAAAAATATTACATATTGTCCAAAATATTACATATTGATATTATATATAAAGGCTGAATGACAGGGACTATGTTTTAAATTTCTGCCAATTGAGGTCTACTTTTAGGCCTAATTTTGGCCAAGAACCCCAGCAAAACCATTTTTTTCTGGCTTGAGGTTTAAACACTTAGTTCGCACGTAGTGTGGTGGACTGCCAGCTGTGGTTGCGCTGTAATGTAAACAGCACATCGGTGTTTGTTGTTTCTGATTGGTCTGACTCATCTACAGACAGTTCACAACCTCTGTGTTGTTAGGTTAAATTGCTCCACTTAGGACAACATTATGATAGTGTAAGTTCTAATTTAAATTGCAACTCTTTTACAGCATGATTTTAATAAAAAAACGATTTAATGCTGAAGTTCATGGTTTTTTTCTTTCTAATGGTAACCGATACAGTGAATAACATCGGAAAACCTTAATGTAAAGTAGTCTTCTAATATAGAATGACAACTGTGTACACCTTTAAACAATACAATTAACTACAAGCATTTTAATGATACAATTATCATTTCCTTAAGCTCAGTTAATCCTACATATCAGTTAAGACAACTGATCAGCTGCAGCATCATGATCATAACATTTTCATAACCATTTCATAGCCGATAAAAATCAGCTAATTTGATGAAGTGAAAAAACAAAATGTGACTGGTATGGATCTGTAAGTTCTTCTACACATGCAACTAAGTTAATGAACACCGTGACATAATTGAAAAATCTGGAAAAAAAACATTGTTAATCATGCATCCTAATATGAACTGTTTCACAATTTGAATAATGAAAACATGAGGTGCAGTTGCAGAAACTAAGAATGACATTATTCAAATACAGTGAGCTCTTAACTGTAACTGTGGTGTGAGATGGAAGATTTCAGTATTTAAAGGAATACTTTGCTCATCAATACTCGGGCTAACTTCTCCCTTATAGCTTTCAATGTTAGATAAGCTATTTGCAGGCTTTGCTCTTTTACAGAAGCCATAATCCAGCTCATAATTTCAATGAGATTACATAGTTGAGATCCAGTAAATGAACACTGTGTCCAGACATTGGTCAACTGTTTTTAGTAAATCCCCAAAATGACTTTTAGTATGATTTCATTTTTAGTATGATCTGTATGATTTGAGTTATTCCCTACAGTGGGCATTAGTTTTTATCTTAACTGATGTGACAAAATCAAAATATCTGATTAAATAAATAATAGTTCAGATAAAGTCCTTTGGATTATTATGAATTATTATTATTATTATTATTATTATTATTATTATGTGATATATGATACAACAAAGGCAGCATGGTGCTTCTTTTATGCAGTTTTATATCTTTTATAAAGCTCCAATTCCACATACTGACACGATGATACGTTGCATGACATTTTACTATGCCCAGTGTGGACATGCACACGTTCTAACTACTGTGGTGATTTGAATGAGTTTGAATGAGTTTGAATGACTGACTGTTACAATTAAATAATTCACCGTTACATATAGTTGAATAAAGGAAGTTATTGTCTATATTCTACTGTTCTGAGTACAGACTCAAAGTTGAGATTCTGTGATTTTTACAAATAATTCTTGATTATACTTCTTGAACACTTGAACTGTGGTAAAATATTGTGATGACATGTAATGTACTGAATTGTTTTCTAACGAGAATATTATTATTACGAATATTATTACGAATCAGACATATTTTTAATTATACTTTATTCCAAAGTTGTGTATCAAAAAGTCTGAGACAACTATTAAACCATGCATAATGGTGAACTGTGCTAGTCATCACTATACCTTCAGGGTGGGTATTCTTGTCGGAGAGGTCTGAGAGAAGAGCCTGAATGGGTAACTGTCACGAGAGGCTGTACCGAGTAGTAAAGAACTGTTGGTTTGGCACCCTTTCTCTCCAAATAGGGCAGAGTTTAGGGAACTGAGTGGTGCAGTCGACTGGTTCCTTGCAGTCACAGCGTACATACCCCGGCTATCGATCAAGGAAGGCCCGCTTGTCGAGTTCCTGTTGCCTTCTGCTGTGCTAACACTGCTACTGGTGGACTTGCTGAGTTGAATCTGGGCACCCATGTTAGCCAGCTCCTCTTCCCGAGAATACTCATCCTCCACATCACCTGTTTCCATGGCAATCGAAAACGTCTCTGACGTATCAGGTGGGTGTGGCTTTTTCAAACTCCGATCCTGACTGGTTCCAGGGTTAGATCGTTGCGAGGCTTCCCCTAACCCGGCAATGGTGTACACCTGTTGGATCCTAAGCCCACTGTCTGAGGTACTGGCTGGGGGGCTGTTGCGTATCGGCAAAGTTTGTTGGTGAGAAATGCTTGGCCATGACTGGTTCTGAGGCGTTCCATATTGCTTTGCCCAGTTGGGGGGGATAGCCACTGGTTCTCGAGGCGAGAATGTCCTCCTCATCTGGCTGAACAACAGGGCACTGGAGGTGGGGATGTGAGGAGTTTTGCGCTGGAGGGCTATCGCAGCAGAGTGGAGGGAGACTGTGTCTGGGTGTAAGGCTGGACGAGCCTGCGGACTTGGTTCAGGATCAGACTGTGTGGGCACGGCTTTTGGCCCAGTTCGACTTTGAGATGAGGAGTCTAGGCGGGTGGCGTTGCGCAGGAGAGAGTATGTGCCCGTCACTATGACGTCGTTATTATTATTGGTTCCACTGCCGCTGCTGAGTGGTGAACAAGAGGAGGGTGAGGAAGAGGAAGAAGGGCAGGAGGCTGGGGGTGGGAGGAGGTGAGCCACGGCCGGACCACGCTGGACAGCTCGCACGGCAGCCATCTCTGCTGTTAATACTGATCCAGCAACAAGAGCCCCAGCTGGCCCGGCAAGGGCATGGTTAGAAAGGCCAACCACTCCATTCTTATCTGCCTTGGAGGCCAGCTTTCTTCTTTTGTTGCCTACCCATGTCTAAAAAGACACAAATAGAAAATTAATAAATGAAAAAAGAAATCTAATTCTCATATGTTTCTTTGTAATCCATGTACTAAATCAAGACATGTTTGATGCTTGTTTACTTCTTTAGCACCTGAGTTACAAGGCTAATGTAGATAAAAAGTAATGAAAGCTTATAAAAGATCACAATATTTTGTATAAAAATTTTTTTTAAAAGGGATTGAAAGTATATTCTATACCTAAAGAGTAGTAGTAGCCATCTAGATAGAGGCTAAATTTAAATTCTGGGGCTGAATTCTGTACTTATCCTATTCTGTACTTCTGTACTGTACTTATCCATTTTTGTAGAAATCACGTAAGAAAATAAGGGGTGTAACAATTCACAAAATTCAAAATTTGATTCGACACAATACAGTGGTGTACATTTTTCAATACAGAACAAATGACGATTGGCTGAAAATGTGCCTTGTGTTAATATGTTAATGTTTCCATCAGTTTAGTATAGGAAACATTTCAACATTATTTAAGTAAAATACCTGAAAGAAAAGCAGTGTCCTGATCTAATGCTTTAGCCAGAAGCTAATTTTTTAGTCCTAGGCTAACACATTAGCCACAAGCTACTGTGCTAGTCATGACGCAATCATACAATACGATGTTCTGCAATACATTTTAATACAATATGACACACTGTGCTGTTACATGCCAAAAGTAAGTCTGTTTGACATTACTTGATGCACCTCAAAGCAAGTTTGCTCACTGCACAGTGTTAATTGGTGGAGTATAAGTTACATTAGCCTAGTACTTCCAGTGCAAACAAGCAAAGTTCACATATGTCTTGGCTGATCAACTACATTTAAAGTAATGAGAAAAAAATTTGCCAGCCTTTTAATTTAACTTCTATCAATTTCTTCTGGAGGCTATTCTAAAGCCAAAGACAATGCATACATGTCATCCAAAAAAGACTGAACAGCCAAGTCTAGGACAGCATCAGATGTGCCTAAATTCATTGCCAATAGCTGCGACCACCCTGTGTGTTATTACAAATCAAGAACAAGAGGAGCAATGCGTTAATGACAATGACCTGATAACATGATAAACAGAGGCTTACCCTGACCACACTGAAGTCAAGTTTGGCCTCCTGGGCACACTGCAGAATGAGTTGGAAGCAGCTCTTGCTCTGGTTAGTCATGCCATTTTCATAGTAACGCTCAAGGATGCGCTGCTGTTCAGCAGTGAACACTGATCGCAGATTCATCTGAGAATAGGTGAAAAAAAAAATCAAAATGAATAAAGCCTGGTTTTATAGGAATATCCATAGCCTGGGGCCTGAGGAGTGTTTAGATGCCTGAGCTAGTGACCCCTACCCAATTAAATTCAGGAAATGCAGTCTTCTACAGCAGTGCTTCTCAACCCAGGTCCTACTCTGCACATTTTAGTGTAATCCCCGCTCCAACACGACTGATTCAACTAATCAACAAATTAACCAGCCGTACCTGAGTTTAAGTGGGTGTGTTAGAAAAAAAATGGTGTCAAAATGGTGCTTTGAACTTACTTGATTAAAATGCTTGCACATGTATTAAATCAACACACTTCTTGGCAGGAAAAACAAGAACTGAAAAAAGAGATTGTGTGAACATATCATTTTTTATTCATGTGCAGCCATTTGACACGTTTAAATCATGAACCTTTTTTGTTTTCAGTGCAGGGAAAATGCAGGACCAGGGCTAAGAACCGCAGTTCTACAGTATTTAGACCACAGTTAATAAGGCATATGTTTATATACAAAGAGTTAGAGAGTTTAAATAATTTTCAAACCCACGCACATCTTTCTTAGCTTCAAGTTATATTCATGAATAGTTTAGACATTTCATCCACATACTCACAGTCTGAATACTCCGCTTCTCCTGCCATGTTTCCATGCTTCTAGTGGGAGAGGTGAGGAAGAGATCCGGGCGACCAGCAGGCCAACTAACTGAGCTCTAACATACAGCACAGAAGCGCTGCCACTGTACGCAATCGCTCAGGCAAGCCATTCAGCATGCATGAGATCTCAAATTAGCTACCTTTCACTTATTTAGTAAAGTTTTCTCTAAATTAACTTAGGAAAGCTTAGCTACAATTTGGCAGGGTCTCATGATCGATACGATTCTGTGGTGCTATCTGATGGGGGCTCGCTCACCATGTAGCATGGTCTGATTTTTGGGTGTTGTTGAGTTGACTTACTGTCTCTCAAGTGATCTGGCCAAACAGAGTCTGGAAGACAAGAGAGGTAATAAAAGTAGCTGCACACTAGTGAAAAAGGATCTCCTAGTATTTAAAACTGTTCTGCCTGTGCAATAAACCTGCATTTGAGGAACGTTCAAGTGCAAGGACATTGGATAAATGCCTACAAGAACAAAAGAAAGATGTGATAAAGTGATTTGTCTCCATTTTCCTTTGAAACACTACCTATTAGTCCATCCTATACCAATCAAAATGATTAGTAACCTCCTTTCCAAATGTATCATCTAATATTCATAAGCTTACCCCTTATACAATCAACAAATATATACAACTGTAAACGTTTTTGTATGTTTCTTTATTGAATGTAGCCCACGGGCCTATGCAGTGTTCAAAACCCTTCGTTGGCTCACGATGTACAACCAACCAACTGTATTATAAAGTACAATAAAACACAAAAGCATGTGAGCAGCAGGGTAGATCTGTGAATCCTGCTTCTTTAACCTATTCAACAAGAGTGTTCGTGTATGAAACAAAGGTGGACAGCAGGCTAACTGTACCAAGTTAACTTGGCCGGTACGCTACTGATGTAGTAGCGTTTAGCCACAATGCTAAAAACATTGAGTCGCAGCGGTGGTAGTTCATTAAATATTCGGTAAAATGCGCCTCGGCGGTTAAAAAATCCAGTCAGGCTATCGCTGTTGTCATTTTCTGCTTTGCATAAAGGTAGCTAATTTGATGGGGTTACTAAATAAGCTGTTTCATGTATTTGCAGTCGGCGTTAGTATTTTAGCTGTAACACTGCTTCACAGTCTTGGATTAATAAGGAGGGAGGCATTGCAAGGGTTATTCGTTTTTCCTCCGTTTCGAAAAGCCTCAGTGCGCATGGCTAGCGTATGAAATAATGATTACATCTCAAACACAATTGATGAGGAAAACGCAAATCCACCCTCCCCGCTCCCCGCAAAGGGTAAAACAAAAAGCTGGCCGCCGGATTCACAAACCCTGAACGGCAGATTCTAACGCAACTTTCCCGTGACTAAAACAAACCAGCAAACCACGTTAAAGCCACATTTCCATCCGGCACAAAAGCGGTAGGATTTGAGGAAGCAGCGCAGATCGCGCATTTCAGCAGAAGCACCAGCCAGGCCCGGGAGACCGCGCTAAACTTTTTTTTCCTTTATTTGCAACGCCTGCGACCCCGATGCTGGTCAAAAATGTATGACCTAAGCTATTCGGAGACCGGGGATGTCCCCTTGTGTCGTCGAAAGCGCATTATAACCGTGCAGCGTATGAAACGTGATAGATACCTTTGTTTTTGTTGACAAATCGAACGGCCGCCCGAATTCAGCAGATTTTTCACTGGTCCCCTTCGCCAGACAATGAAATCAAAACGTCCGATCATCAATTCTAATCATGATCGTGACGTAAGAGTAGACAGGAGCCAATGGGCGGGCGAGATCAGGGCTGTGACATTTTGCAAGCGACTGAAAACTGAGCGCTCTCGTCCCGCCCATCGCTGACTTTGTGGGGAGACATGGAGGGTGAAAGGGAGGGAGGTCACTGCTAAAAGAAGCGTAGCTCTCGGTTTCAGGTCGTTTGAGAGAAATAACAGGCGTGGACATGTGTTAAACTGTTATGTGTGCAGAAAAAACGAACGAGACCCGAATATTAGAATCGTGTGTGTAAATGCTTATTGATTATTCTTTATTTTTAACTTTTGTTACTGAACAAATGAGGTTGGTAAGGTTTTATTGAGCGTCTGCAGAATACATTAGTCTGGTACATTGTTTTAGATGATTTTACAACTTCATTTGACATTATTATGAGCCGATTATTAGTTAAACCAACAAACAACCTAAAATATAAATAAATTTAAATAATATTTAATACATGTAAATTTAAATAATAAATATATGTGAAGGATTTCTTTGAACAATTTTATTTTTATTAGAGAATTAATTAATTAGAGAAATAAAAATATGTTTTCCATTTTTCCATTATTGGCTGTTCTTCTTTTCAGAAACGTGTTATATTCTTTAAAATGGATATACACAGCATTGGAAAGAATGAAACTCTCTCTCTCTCTCTCTCTCTCTCTCTATATATATATATATATATATATACATATATATATATATATATATATATATATATATATATATATAGAGAGAGAGAGAGAGAGAGAGAGAGAGAGAGAGTTTCATTCTTTCCAATGCTGTGTATATATATATATATATATATATATATATATATATATATATATATATATGTATAGCCAAAAAGAGCAAACTGTGTTGATGTAACATATCAAAAGACAGCAACTGTGTTCATGTAACATTTTACTCATGATTTTACTCATGTGCAATCCTTTAATACACTTTAATCATGAATTGAAGTGTACTTTATCACTTCATTGAATATCGTGAATTATTCAACAAACCATGCAGAGTAAACACACTGTTTTCCCGCACCTTTTCAAAAAAAAATCTTTCACTTTTTTTACGGCTATTGTAACTCTATGATTTCAACCAAAACGCTTCAACAACTTTTTGAACCAGAATCCGTCATGTAACACTGTATCCACAGCAGGGGGCGCTGCTTCAGTTCTGAGCCGAGCAGAGTGGCCTGATTAAGAAGTGTGCCCTCTCTATATGGGATGTATTAGCACAATTACGACACTCGTTTGTAAGGGCTACTCCCATTACCAAGCGTTTGTGGAGAACGTCGTCGCCTTTGTAGAAAACACCGATTAATAAGCCTCGCGTTTGGTGAATTCATTCAGAGCGACTTGAAACTAATTGTTTCTGTGCTTTAAAGCTGGCAAATGTATCATCAGGTAGATGCAAACTTGAACCTTCATACTTAAGTGGGTCCATAACATTAAAAGTTCACACCATCAGTACTTGACAGCCCATGATCCAATAGCCGAATTCAAGATTAAGTCCAGCGCTTGTATAAAGACTGAACTGGACGGTCACCGGTGATCTGTTCATTCTCCAGCTGCTGTTGTATTGTAACGCAGGCTGCTTTAATCTGGCTCGTGGACTGAGTGAGCAGTGTTGTGGCTGCTGCACCATTCTCCAGCGCTCACTTAGCGGCCCGTGGAGTGATGCTGCAGCGTGTCGGTGAGGAAGGGAGGGGTTGCTCCACTTTGCTCGCGCTCAGCGACCTCGCTCCTCTACAGTAGGGGCTCATAGCCGTGAGCTCGGGCTGGCGGGGAGGGAGGGGAGCCGGACTGCACCACAGCATCCCGTCCCACAGCGGCTCCAGCACAGCCAGCATGCTCTGAACTCCAGCCTTTTTTCTCCCAGCCCCAGCGTTCAGCGTTTTTCTGACAGCTTTTACCAATGCGACCACCGAGCCCACCCCGTCCAGCGAGAGCCATCCGTATGCTTTGGTGCTGATTCAGAAGACCGCTGTGACATCGATTATGGCTCTGGTAATGGAACCTATAAGCAAATGGAATCCCAAGCAAGTGCTGGACTGGATGAAAGGTAAAGAAATGCGTGTCGATTCCTTCTCACTGGAGTGATTCATTGGTAGCCTTTGGTGAAAACGCAGCGCTCTCCGTGCATTGAGAGGTGACACATGGCTCGCGTGCATGATGTGCTGTTATGTCATAAAGTCATTAATTCAACAGATGTGGACGGTAATTAGGCGAAAATAAAGTGTTGCTTTGCATGGACGGTGTAGTTTATGTACGGCTTGCATGATGAATTCAGCCTCGCCTTGGTGGGATTCTTACATTAAGACCCTTTACTATGCGTGTATTATCAGTAAATGGAGAGATACCAATGGTACAGTTTTGTAGTGGGGTTAGCAGATTGTTATCCTTGCAGTTTTGGTTCTGAAAGTCTGAGCCTCCCTTCTTCTGCAATCATTTTAAGTCAGGACCAGCACCATGGACAGCTCACGTTTACCATATATGGCGAGAGTTCGACTCGCTCGCTTTTTGTTAATGGTCGAGCCCCTGTGAGGAACCGTTGGCAGTTTGCAAAGCAGCTGCACAGCCTCGAAGCTCAACATATGCATGATGTAATGCGTAGTAGTCTGGAGGCGAACTCGTTCTGTCACGTTGAAATTACCTTGGTTACTCACTGAAACCGTGGCTCTGAGAGCCAGCTCATTCCTCCCAACGCAACGGAATGCATTTATTGATGAAACACCCTGGACTCCTCTGCTCCCCTATATAAGCCACATTTAATGTGGATGAGATGGAAAGGAAAGCGTTCAATAGCACATTAGAGCACATTTGATACAATAGCCATAGCTGTCATGTAGAGAAGATGTGTAAAACAACATCAGTGAAGACAGCATGAGTATGGAAACTGTAATCATACATTATGTGATCTCTGCATGCTAGATTTCACTGCACTGATGAGAAAGAAAACCATCACTGTCATAAGAAAGCACTGAAACAGTGGGCTACTTGCTTGACTCAGGCTAAAGAAGTTCATATTTGGAATTGCTTGCTTTTAAATCATTGACTCACATGTCAGGTAACAATGATGTCAAATGGAATTTCATTTCCAGATGTTGGTGCTTATATTTCATTATAGTTCTCTAACCCACGTATCAACCAGATTTAGCCAGTTTCAATGTGGTCAGTATGGTCATCTTTAAACATAGGCTATTACTCATCATGGCATGCATAGTGCAGTGTGTCAATGACATGCCAAGAGAGTGATGAGTGTCCGAAGAAGGTTGTAAGAGGTCAACATTGTACTTCAATTTTGTCCTGATTGTGGCGGAGGCCTGTGCAAAAGTAAAAGACCCAGAAGAGGCTCTTGACTACAAATGCATAGATGAGATAGTTTTGGCGCTTTCAACACTGCCCATAGCCTATGTCGCATCTCGTGATCCTTCCTTCAGCTCCGTTTAGAGACCACTTCAGGGCTCAGGGCGATGAAGTTGCTCTCTTAAAAACGGAGATGCAATCAGGTTTAAAAGTGTGGAGGGAACAGAAGCTGCAGCTGAAAAGGCCTTTTGGACGTCCTCATTTCATTCTCAAGGGGAAAATCCATTTATTTCCCCTCCACTTCCATTCACGCACGCTGCTGATTCTATTGTATAAGCAAATTACAGCTATAGTGTTATCGCGACGTGAGCGGCCCATAGTGCTTGTGCACCTTGAACCGCTGGAGCCGGCGAAGCCGCGGCTGTAAATGGGCCAGCTGTCGCCATGGCAACCCCACCCCTATTTCAGATCCGCGTGGAGCGCCGCGCGCGTCACGCGCTGGGCCAGATGAGCGTTTCGTGAGAGAGGTTTTTATTTATTTATTTATTTATTTATTTATTTATTTCATTTTTCCACAGTAGAGATTCCCCCCACTCACCCCGCCTCGCTCTGTACTGCCTGGGAGAAGCCTCCGCCAGAGCGATCCCGATGACGAGCGAATAGCATGTGGCTATGCTCACCAGTTCCAAGCACCTTGTTGCCACCTCCTACAGAATTAAGGGAGAAAAAAGAACTATAACCTCTTAAAAGGGTTGGGAAGAATACTTTGAAAAGGTAGTGATGGCTGAATACTGAATACACTGTCCTATATTTATTTATTTAGTAATGTATTTAATGACAATACAAAAAAAAAAAATTCAGAATACATTTAGAATACATTAACCCTGCTGAAAAACTCATAGAAACTGTTGAAAGTTTCTGTTCGTTTCTGGTTATGTAAAAAAGTCAGAAATGGTATTCTGTGTTTTCCTCAACAACATTTTCAACATTTTTTGTCTCTCTTACCACCTGCTTCAGTTCACTGCTGCTCCCATAATCCCCTTAGTGAGAGCTCAGTAATGCTGAGTTAAAGAACTGGCTCATCACAGTGATTTATCAGTCTACTCGGGCTTTAGCAGAAACTCAGTGTTTGTAAAGAAGCCATTAATTGAAGTCCTTTTGAGAGTTTGCCTAACAAGTATCTTTGCTACATGCCATGTGATGATTTTAAAATACGTAATAAACAACCATTGATGGTGTTTCTTTTGAGGATTGTGTTTTTTTTATATAGTGAGTAAGTATTGTTAAAGTATCGTGCCATACATTTAAAAGGTAACTGCATTCTGAATACTGACTTTAATTTGGACTGAATATAAAAGCTTAACTCCTGTATTCTGAATACATATTGTCAATACTTGTATTCAATTGCACTTAGATTTATATGCTCTTAGATTTGTTTGATCAAGAAAGATTCAGAAAGATTGCTGGAAATGAGTTAATGAACCATGTGTGCTGGCATGTGCTACTTAATGTAATAAACAGGTATTACATTATTAAGGCTTTCCATTGTGACAAGAGACTAAGGCTTGTATCCATGTGCAGAAACAGATGGAGTCTTACTATGAGAATGAAAAAATTTCTACTTCCACAGAAAGCCACATGCAGATTATCTCGCCATTCACAAATTAAAGCCCACAGGACACTTACAGTTCGAAATATAGCCATCAAGCAAACCTGGATGTGGTCCGTCTACAGCTATGCTATTAATGACTGCCTGGCTTTTCAGTGCATATGTATTGACTTTTGCCTGCTGCTATTTTTGCATTGTAGAAGCTCAGTTATCAAGTGCTGTACAATCCTAGTGATCAATCTAAAGCCCCTGCTACAGCCATTATCAATCATAATATAAATGTTCAACAGAGCACTCTGTGATTTTAGAACTGTAAAGTGTTGAAGGAGGTGTGGAAAGATGAAACTGCCCCACATTACTGACCCACACAAAGTTCTAAGTGAAAGAACCTGAGGAAATACACTTGCCAACTTTATTAGAGCATACTTACACTCACTGCCCACTTTATGAGGTTCACCTACTGTACGGAAGTCAGAGATTGCTCTTTTGATTTCCAGTGAAAACAGACATTAAAGACAAGCTATTCATTTTTCAGCAGATGTTTCTGAGAAAATTAGACAACACACAGTCCACTTGCATAAGTAAGAGGAAAGTCAAAGGAAAATAAGAGAATAAACAGGATTTTCCAAAACTGGAGTGCAAAAGAGTTTAAAAAGGTGTAGAAACAATGAGACTACTAACAACCATGCAAGACCTGTTAGACCACCAAAACTATTTGAGAGATGGGAAAAAATCAAGCTCCACACTTGCTTTAGATCTCAAAAAATGTGTTTCTGGTGTAAAGAAGCCGTTACTGAGAAAAGGAAATAGACAAAAAAAGAAGAATGAAAAACAAACAAAGAAGCTGCTGGTGTTCTCCAAACAATGGACTGACCACCCCAGAGTCCAGACCTGAACATCACTGAATGTGTTTGGGATTGCTCATGAGAAAAAAAAAAATGAGAAAAAAAAAGACTGAACTGAAAAATAGCCCTGCAGATTTCTGTGAAAAACTAAAAGCAAGCCTCCCAAAAAGAATGAAAAGTGTAACGAAGACAATGTGGACACACAACTACTGAAAAATGTTTATTTAGTAGTTTCACATTCAGGAAAAAAGTATTATTCGTGCTGAAAAAAAGAATAATTCATAGTTAATAGCTGTTTTAACCAAAATTAAAAAGATGATTGGTGGTCTATGTCTTTTGCACCTAATAGGACCACAGTTTCAGTGTACAATTACAGACTGTAGCGAATCTGTTGTCATGCTCGGTTTATCATCAACCATCTACCACATTCATCACTGGTTGGTTCCACACCATCCTAACTAATAGGTTAGGTGTTTCTAATAAAGTGGCCAGTAATTGTATGTTTTGCTTGTACTTTGCGTATGATTCTATTTTGCTTTTTTCTGGACATGGTGGAATCATGCTGCAGCTACTACAGAGCATGATGTCTATTGTTATGAACTAAGTTAATGAACTTAGCATTATTAAGCACAGACAATGTAAAACATTATCAAGCAGTGTTTTTATTTTATTAATCTTTTGTCAGCTGAAAAATTGTCATCACACTGTTTTGATATACCTCACCTCAAAATGCTAACACTGCTAATAAGGAATGAAAGCAAGTAGGGGCCAATTAGGTCTATGAGAATGAATCAAACTAATTGGTCCCTACTAGCCTTTATTCACTGTTAGCCACACTAGCATTTTTTGGGCAAAGAATTCCATTAATTAGACAACGCAAATATAATGATTTACAGTGCAACAACACTGCAAGCTAGGAAAAATCATCCAAAGACACATTACGGCATTTCACACAGAGGTGATTACACCATGCGTCGGTGGCTGAAGTCATGATTTTCCAATTGCTCCCGAGGCCTGATCTCCATATTCATCTCCCCAAATCTCCTACCCTGTTTATCAGTGCATCACATCTTCATTACTGTTGTCTTCTCCTTGAGTCTGTGTTTATGCAAATGTGTGTTTATCTATGGAAATCAGTTTCTGCCCAACAGAATATTTTAGCAGGAAGGCTCGCAAACACACTGCTGTGAGAATGTTGAGTATAAATCTTCTTTTTTTTGTTTGATGCTAATTTTTGGTACAGTATAGGCTCTCCAACAAAAGCAACAACAACAACAACAACAACCCTATAATAATACAACC